GTTCTTGTTCGCTCCTTGCCAGCAGCACAATGTCATCCGCGTAAGTAATCGTCCAGACTTTTTCTTTACCTATTGAAACTCCACCAAATTGCTCTTTCCTCATTTCTGCTTCCAAATCCATCATATACACGTTGAACAGTGTTGGGCTCATAGGACATCCCTGTCTGACTTCACTTCTCGTCCAGAACTCCTCCGACTTTCCTTTTCCTACTTTCACTTTGTTTTTCGTTTCTTTATAGGTCTCCATGATTCTTTTTCTTAACTGTTCTCCAATCCTCGCCTTTCTCAGCATTTCTCTTAGTTTAACCCTATTTGTTTTATAAATATATACATATAAGTACTGATTGGTAAACCATTGCATTTTACAGTTTTCACGTTGGAGATAATCACACTTTGTTTAATACACAGACGAAAGATAATATAAAATAAACTTGAATTGCATTGTTCACTTAGTCGACAGAGAATATAAAATGAACTCGAATTACAGTGTTCAATTAGTAGACGGAGAATATAAAATGAACTTTAATTGCACTGTTTACTTAATCGACAGAAACTCAAACATCAAAATTTTTTGTCACATTTTTGATATATTGAAAAGTCTCCGAAATACATTTTATTATTTTCTTTAATTCTGTAGAGCCGTTTTTCTATCCGAGCAATAATTACGAAAAACACCTCTTAATACGAATTATTTCGATCGGTAATAACAGGACGGTCCAGGACCCTCTTAAATCAAGATTTAATTTATTATTTAACTACAATACGTGTTGTGCGTGTACTTGGCGCCTGTTCTTACTTTTTTAAAAAATGGTAAGGTTTTCGAGATCTCACACATTTTGTATTTTGTAATATTATTGAAAAATTGTTTTCTCGCCGACAACACGTCCGATAGTACCGATTGCTTTTAATATTACATATTAATGTATGAAGTAGTGACAAAGTATTAAGATTCGTACAGCAACTTTAATGAAAAATAATAGATATAAATTTTTTATATATAAAGAAAGAAAACGAATTCTATATTTTTTAGTGTATTGCAAAACGTGCAATACATTCATCAACAAAAAAATAAGCTTATAATGACTTACTATGTTTAAAATAGTAACATCTATAATTAACTTATCGATACATTACCATGTGTCAATACATGTGGAAAGAAGTTCGAGTTACGAGGTTTATTTGGGGTAAATCCTCCTAACGCACGCTACTGTTTCGGCTCGGCTTTTGGCTCGTCGCGTCGGTACACCCTCGGCTGTCGGTACATCCTCGACAGCCAGCGTTGCCGTGGAACTAGCGGACGTCACGCGGTAGAGGGGGTAAGTTACGATTTATGGGGGAAGTATCTTAGCAACCGACGCTACGACACGACGCCAGATGTCACGCCAACGTGTTTGTAAATGATTTGCAGCAAATTTAGTGAAGTGCGATTTTTCTTGTGTGATTTTTCTTGTACGAGCGATTAGAACAATCGAAAAAGTTCAACAATCTAAAAACAAACGTCAGACATGTCTGAATATGGTTGGTCATAAAACTTAAGTTATAGCTATATAGGTTATATTATATTATTATAAGTTAGGTTAGGTTAAGTTAAATAGCGTCGTGTCACGTGTAGCGATGCATCGGTTGCTAAGGTACAGAAGAGTGCATCATATCGTTCCGATCCAGGGGAAGTATTTCTCGGAAATTTCTCCTCCGGCTGTCCCTACTACCGCGCGCCGTTTTCCTTCAATCTCGGGCCGCTGGCGGAGATCGAAAGAGTACGGCGCGCGGTANTTCTCTTCTTTCCTCCCTTTCTATCTCTTTCTTATCTTTCATTTCTTTTTTTTTCTTTCCTTATTTTATCTATTCTCCTCATTACTTCACAGCCTTTCCCATCTTCACTTAGAAACTCTTCTTCTGATATTTCTTCTTTCGTTTTTACGCAATTCTTTAATACATGTTAACACATGTTATGTCCTCTATTTCGACTCCGCATATTCTACACATCCTTTCCTCCTCTGTTAGCCAGTGTTGGTTCCCTTTCATTTCGTTCCCGCATCTGTATCTTGCTATCCTTGTCCTTTCTTTCTTGCTTTTCTTTCCTCTTAAGTATGCCGGTACTGCTTCTGTTCTTGCTTTTTGTAGCTGACGTTGTACCTCGATTCCTCCATCTTTTTCCTTCTTTTCTCCTTATCTTTCGTTTTTATTTTCTCTACTATTTCTTGCATTATCTCCTTCATCTCCTCCCTCTCTCTCTTCTTTTTCAACTCCTTCTTGCTAATACCCACGTCTTTCATCACCTCTTTTCTCCATTTCTCCCACCTACTTTCTTCCCCTCTTTCTTCCTCTCTCTCTATTTCTTTCATGCACTCTACCACTAGCTTCTTTTTCGACTGCCGTGCCTTCTCTTCATATTTCACCGTTCTTTTTATGGCCTCCAGTCTTAGTTCCTTCATTTTTGTCTCCTCTTTTACAATATAATTCGGCGTTCTTCTATCCAATCCCAGTATCCACTTTATGTATTTTCTCGTCACTTTATCCAGTCTTTCTTTCTTCTTCCACCCCCATATTTCTGCGCCATATAATGTCACACTACCCACCAAAGCGTTGTACATCTTCATCCTTCTTCTGTAGTCCTCTTTAAATAGTCTTTCCCCAATGCTCCACGTCTGCTTCATCGCGATCACCGCTCTTCTCATTCTTTCCTCCACATGTTTCTCTGCTCCTCCGTTTTTCTGTAGTAAGTATCCTAAATACCTTATCTCCTTCACCTCCTCTATTCTTTCTTCTCTCCAGTTCCACCTTCTCGTCCTTTTTTTTTCTTTTCCTCTCTCAAACACCATCACTTTTGACTTTTCTGGGCTTAAAATCATTCCTTTTCTTTCTAAATACTTCCTGAACCTTCTCATCATATTCTTCAGTTCTTGTTCGCTCCTTGCCAGCAGCACAATGTCATCCGCGTAAGTAATCGTCCAGACTTTTTCTTTACCTATTGAAACTCCACCAAATTGCTCTTTCCTCATTTCTGCTTCCAAATCCATCATATACACGTTGAACAGTGTTGGGCTCATAGGACATCCCTGTCTGACTTCACTTCTCGTCCAGAACTCCTCCGACTTTCCTTTTCCTACTTTCACTTTGTTTTTCGTTTCTTTATAGGTCTCCATGATTCTTTTTCTTAACTGTTCTCCAATCCTCGCCTTTCTCAGCATTTCTCTTAGTTTAACCCTATTTGTTTTATAAATATATACATATAAGTACTGATTGGTAAACCATTGCATTTTACAGTTTTCACGTTGGAGATAATCACACTTTGTTTAATACACAGACGAAAGATAATATAAAATAAACTTGAATTGCATTGTTCACTTAGTCGACAGAGAATATAAAATGAACTCGAATTACAGTGTTCAATTAGTAGACGGAGAATATAAAATGAACTTTAATTGCACTGTTTACTTAATCGACAGAAACTCAGGTTATGCAACAAAACCGACACGTTCTGTATTGTCTTTTGAGAAAAAGGTAGACTCTTATAAAATAGAAGCATATTTACTTTGGAAGCCAGAAAAAAAGGATCAAGTCAAATATTTGGTAATGTATATGTATAGATTATAGATTATGCAAGTTCTTTATTTTTTTCTTTTTCTCTTTTATCAAGCTTTTTAAACTGTATCAGATAAACTACCACAATAAACAAATTGTGAAAATATTGCACAAAAATAGCATCATAAAGTGACGAAAAATTGATTGAAAGACGATTCGCCATAACACAACAGTCAGAATACAATTTTGGAAATAATATTTGTCAAAAATTAGCAAATTGGTTCGAAAATGTTAACTGATTATTTTAAAATACTTAACAAGCATTCCCGAAAGTTCAGTTTACTTACATTTGAACGCTAATAAGCAATATAGTGTCAACCTACAAAAATAAAATATTAAGATATTTATGTAGTGTGCTTCTTTCAGTACCTAATTAAAGAATATACTGCTAAGATGATTCGCCATATCGTTAGTGTTTTACCAAAATAGTATTTGAAAATCAAGTTTACAAACAGTTACAAATATTTCATAAAAGATCAATATTTTTCATCTATTTCTCAAAATATATCTAAATAACTGCGAATCACGATTTTCACGCAAGATTTTGTCACATAATTCCATAAATGTTTTCCTATTGGGGTAATCTTATCTGTTAGGTAAATACAAATTTTATGTCCGATTTATCATTAATTACTTTATTTATTTCGTGTTTGTTCTTCCGATTGTGAATGTCGTGTAATTTATCGTCGAGCCATGTAATTCTTTTATTCATTGATATTTTTTATAATGGTTTTACTCTTTTTGTCTTTTTCTTGTGAGCCCTTTATGTTTCGAATGTGTGTGTTGTGAACTTTATATTCTATTTTATTCGTGTGTGAGTGCCTCGGATAATTTTGTAGTTTATTCGAGTGTGTCGCGGTATGATCTTACTTATTATAATTATTCGTATTTCGCATACGGTAAGATTCGAAGATTAATTTTTTTCAATTTTTTTACTTTGATAATGTTTCAATGTAAACAGGCACTTCTCATAGTTGATGCAAATCCAGCATTTTATATGAACTTACAAATTTCAATTTTAATTCAAAACTTACGTGTAAACTTTAAACAAAGAAATATAAAATTATATATATATATATATATATATTGATAAATATAAAATTTATATATTGATTCCGCACGAACATCCAACGTAGGTTCTCATTAACCAATTTATGCGTTATGAATACAAAGTTCATGACTGATTCATCATTAAAACCAATGATAAATTGAGATCACAACTTTTTGGTACTCACCTAATACATACGAGTAATTACTAAATAATTCTAAACCAGAATTTTAAGTGCTTGTGTCTTTTTTCCTTTAAATATTAATTATTGTCAGAATCGGTTCTACTTATTATTTACCAATTAAACGAGCATGTTTATTTTACAGATCAGAAGGAAAGATCTTTATGAGATTAGAAGAAACGTAGAATGTATAATCCCGTTGATTCCAGATGTAATGTTCTGTAATAATAATTTTAGAATATATTTTGAAAATCCATTTCACACTCTTGTAGTTTTCAATACTGATCATCATTCTCTTGAACAATTTTTTCATCTTGTGAAGTTGATGGCTGATGGACATTGGTATTCAGTTTACAAAAAACTGTCATCCATAGAAATTGACTTTACATCAGAAATCACAGAAATTGTAGAAAAAAAAAGAAAATATTCATCTAGAGAAAGTTTTCCTAGAACAAACAAAAGACTTAATTTCTGCAAACGCAACATAACGAAAATTCATCCCCGAGTACTCTTATGTACTCCTACTTTCCATACTCTACGAGAACTTATCCTAACAAACAATCAGATCTCGTTTCTCCCAAAGGAGTTAGGTACTTTGCCACATCTTTATAAGCTGTTGTTATCATACAATTGCCTTGGAAACACTTGTTTAGAGATCGCTAAATGGGAATGGATGGAGCAAACTGCTATTTCGCAGAGCCTGAAAGAATTATACATAGATAACAATAATGTAAGTTGTGGTATATTATAACTATAAGACGGCACATACAACTGATAAAGTTTTATGTGAAACACACTTTTATTGTTTTTTATTATGAGTTAGTGATTAATAATTCATTATTCATTTTTATTTATTATTGTCATTTAGCTCACTGAATTGCCACTGCAAATTGGAAAGCTACAAAGTTTAATAAGCTTAGACGTTTCCTGCAATTTGTTAAGAAAATTACCGCAAATTATCGGAACTTTGCAACATTTAGCAAGGTTGAATGTGGTGTATAATCCTCTGTTATATTTACCAGGGAGTATGAGAGGGATGGAATTGGAAATGTTGTGTGCTAAATTCGATTATCGGTTTGATGATTATACATCACCTACTCCAAAAGTGGTGAGCCTGATGGATTTAGCAGCTAAAGCAGTGAAAAAATACAGGTGTTGTATATTTTATTAGTTGACTATGTTATTTTATACACACACAGTTACTAATTTAATATTTATAAAATGAGAATAAATTTATTGTTTTGCAGGATATCATACAATACTTTACCATCTAAATTGGTCAGATACTTAGACAATAGCAAATTTTGCTGTATATGCCGGATGTCTTGTTTCCAATCTGATATAAAAGGTTTCAAGCCATTATTAGATAATCCACGTTCTGGAAGTGTAAAGCGTTTACTTGTAGTACGTAACAATTATTTCCTCCCAATAATAGGGAGAATACCATTCAAATGTTATTTTTGTTCATCAAAGTGCTATGATTATTATTGTGAGACATATTAAGTGACAATATAGTACCAATAAGGTTTTTAATCAAAAAGTACGTTAATAAAATCGGCTGTTACAAGCCAGTGCAGGGTGTAATGCAATATCAAACAATTTTGCATTATGAACAAAACGTTTCGACTTTATTGTTGAAGTCTTCTTCAGTTGTACACTAAAATATAAATATACATATTGGACAACTTAACTTGTGTGAAGAAATTTATAAAATAAGAAAGATTCTTTTGTACCCCGCAAACAATTTCTGATTGCACAGACTTGGCAAACAGAAATAATTAGACATTATCTTCTTCTTGTTTATTATTAATTATTTTTTATCTTAATGGTTTGCATTTTTTTAATATAATAGAATTGGAATTGCCTTTCAAAATACCTGTACAAAATACTTACAATTTTATTAATTTTACTTCGATAAGAAAGAATTCTTCAAAACTATATTATATTTATTTCTGATGTCTTTTAGTAAGCTCAGTTTTAAGTTATAAATATAAATCAATTTTCTGTATTTCACACAAAAACTCTATGCAACATTTGTTAGATATCACGTGATGTGATGTTGAAATTTACTGGACGTCTGAAGTTTTTGTTTCTTTTTTGTACTAGTTAAAAATATGTGTGACAAAAGAGATTAATAGAAGATTCGTTTTAACCTAAACGAATGCTAACTGTGATGTGCTACTTCTTACTTTTACATACAAACAAAAAATAATTTAAAATCGTTTTTAATCGTATCTGGTGCAATATAAACTACAACAAAAAATACAAAACAGAAATATTATTTTATATTTTTCTATAAAATGATTTAGTTATCTCGACTAAATCATTACTGCGATCCAAAAGTAAATGTTTTTTTTTTGATCGGAATATCTTCCAAAGAAAGATCTCAAATTCAGATTTGGCGAACCTCTAGCATGTATACATGTCATTCAATTTATTTAAATTTGTATTGCGTCTATTTTACTGTAAATACGTAGTTACTTGCATTGCTACAACTCTGTCAACACAATTTCAAACTGCGTAAAACGCAATTTAACGTTCTTTTTATCATTTGCATTAAATCTGAGACACAAAATTTTCGAAAAATCAAAGTTCTAACATCAATTCTATACTCGTTAGCAATTAACAGTTCTACAGTTCTTAATAAATTTTAGTTTGATTGTTTGCTTTCAAAACCTCTTTACGACTTTGAAATTTGAAAGCTGGCACAGCATTGGCGAAACATGTCACAGTTTTGGCATCAATTCTATATACGCGTGATCAATAGTTTTACAGATGCTGATTAATTTTGGATCGATTTTCCTCGTCGACGGCAATGTTATCTCTGACCGCGAAAGTAGAGGTCATTATCCCCCTTATCGTTGCGGTCAATATTATCGACCCTGGAGACACGGTGCAAGGGAGCGCAACTCGCGGTCGACTCGCGGCACGATAGTTCCTATGGTAACGTACGATCGAATTGTACGCGACACCCACGTCGTGTCCGGTTTCTTCCTAAGGTAGTACGTCCCTCCTCGTATTAGGTAAAGCGTGCAGCAAATATTGGTTCCTACCGCAGTCTCGCGTAAATATTGACGAGGAGTCGTACGGGACCATCCGGAGAATCGGACAACCGTCTTCCGTAGAAGACTGTCGCGGAACTTCACTGTTGAGAAAGTAACAAGAAAAACGTACACTTCCGTATTTTTATTCGCGAAACCCGGATAAAAGACTACACGTGACAGACCAGTTGATAATCAAAAAGTAGGTCGTACTAAATTGTTACAAGAGTTGATTTACTTGAAGAGTTCTAAGAATGTCGGTCCTGTTCCGCCAAGTTCTTCCAAGAATTTGGTAATTTAATACAATGATTAACAAATTTTAAATTACAAGTAATAATTAAATAAAACAAAATTTTTTAATCAAAACATTTTTAACTTGCATCTTGTAAATACATGTGTAATTAAAACTGTTAAATTGTTTTGATATGTTATAAGGAACAAAATAATTTTTTCAGATAAACAAAAAAGTACATTTTGAAGGATGATATGTTAAAGAATTTTGATAACAAAATAGCGGTATCCCGAAAAAAGAGATGTTTTGGAAAATAAAAGTTCAAATGAGACATTCGGTCTTGCGCTAAATGTTATTCGTGGGAATTTCCGCTGATGGTTGCTGATTCCCGAATAGGTAGGCAATCGAGAAACACAATGAAGATGGGTAAGGGTTTAGTTTAGGACCTTCTTTTGCCTTTTTTGATCGTCCGTCGTTGTTGTCGCGCGTTGTCCGGTACGTGATCTTCTCGCGGGAATCGCGTGCGAGGATGACCGGAAGAACATCGCTGGTGGAACAGAAAAGACTTCAGTGGGCAAAGGAAAGAGGTAGGTAAAAATTATCAAGTACACATAGTACAATTATGTTGATTAGAATTTTCAATAAAATTATTATCAAATTTTTTCCGAAGTATTGAGTTTATTGTAATAAAAAATAATACATTGCACACAGTTACACACATTTATATTTTTTTATTATATTTTATACCACACACTTTTTTTTATTTGTTATATTACATGAAACGATATCTACGAGAAGCATTTTTGTATCGATTTTATACAGAAGAAATGGCTCGTCTTGGAATTAATTGGGGACCTCTAAAATCAAATAACAACTACCGCACCCATATTCGGTAAGATTGTGAAAACAAAATAAATACGTGTATTATTGTTACTGGATACAATTATTTATATCTATTATATATCTGTTATTGGATATAATAATTCTCAAATTGTAATTGTATTTTACTCAGTTCTTAAAAAAATATATGTCATTTTATCGAACACATATATACATATATATATATATATATAGTTTTTCAAATTGATAAATGACTAATTGATTTGATTTATATTAACACATAAATAATTGATTTATATTAAACTTGTTATTTGTAAATTTGTTATTTGCAATGATATTTACGATTAAAAATAAAATTCGTCACGCAGTACTTACTCAAACGACGCCAGACTGTCCTTGGGGGAAATAAAGGAAAAACCTTCCGTGCAACCCTTCCGTGCAACCGGACATTACGGAAGCACCGTCAGTTTGAAAAGTCTGGCGACGGAAAGTTCCGGAAACGGCAATACCAATCTTAAATGCCTTGATTACAACGGCGGCAGTTTAATAAATCTGCGAAATCAGGCGAATCCATTGCAAATCAGACGAAGGAGTCCCAGTTTGCCGCCTATTTTTAGCAAAGAGCAACAGCAGTACTTGTGCCAGTTGGTACGTATTCTTAATATATGTTTCTCGCTATATTTTCTATTTAATTAGACTATATATTATAGTAAAAGAAATTAAATTTGATAAAAAAGACAAGGATTTTAATATTTTTTAATTATTTGTCAAAAAAACATAACAACACACGGAAAAAAAAGTTCTGCTATATTATACTGCCAGCAAGAAACATTTGTTGAGTCTACTGAATGTGTGTTTCATCAACAAAACGTTTTGTTGGCAATAGCCTTAGCACATTTGTTTTGCTTGTCATATAATGACTAATTTCTTGCTATTCTAGCAAATCTTTTTGCAATCTTATGAGTTTTGATGCATTTTACATCACGGTTTTCATTTTACTCGTCGAGACACGGTAATATTTTACCGTGAAATTTCTTTTGACACGAAATTCCAAACAGAAATCGATTAGACTATTAATAACTTCACGCTTACGACGGTCTCGCGACAAATAAAAGTTTTGAATATCACGCGTTGTATATTGCTTACTTAAATAATTGATCGTTTACCACGGCGAGCTTACTCGCGTGTAACAATAACTCGCTGTCAATTTCATAGCTAAATAATCGAATAGTGAACGAACTACAGATTTTTATCTATTTATGTAATGAAGGTATTTGATAAAAAAATATATGTGCAACTTAATGTAAAAAATATGAGATTTTTTATTATATTAATGTTTCGCGCTTAGGCTCTCGATCTCTGTATATCAAAATATTTGAGATTTTTCTACAAATTACGATATATTTGAACAAGTGCAATATTGAGATTGCGTATCCATTCGGAAACGTGGAAACAACTTTTTTTTCGAATTCCGAGTGTCGAGAGTAAAATCGACAACTTTGTTTTGTTATAGCAATTTTGTAAGATTAACCACATTCAATAGTACATTGCCCTTTTCTGTGGGGGAAAGCAAAAGTAAGGCAGTCTGGCAAATCGATTGTAATCGCGCGATAAGGTTCGCTGACCTCAAGGCTATACACCTTGCTTTCAAACTTGAGAACGGCCAGTGGACACTTACATAAGTCCAACTCTCTAACCCCCGATTACGTACAAAAGTCGATTGCCGGAATTGTTTCACACGACACAAAACGCACGAATTCGATTTTATCACGGTTGTTACCCCAACTAAAATTTATTTTATGCTTGGACTCAATTACTCCGCATTTGAATATTCAACAATTCCTTATAGAGGAAATGCGCAAAGCGCGGATAATAAATTTTACAATTATAAATATAATATAATTATTATACATTATATTATGTTAATTATTATTTTTATAAAGTATATTATTTTTATTATTTATTCGTTGCGTTCCTCAAGTCAAGTTTTTTTCCGTATTAAAAACTATAGTGGGAATAAATAATTTATAAATCGACATTTCACATACGTTACACGTATTTTTATTCAATCATCACAGAAAAATGCATATTCCGGTTTTTTGTATTTATGAAACGGTTAAAAATAAGAACCAGATCATGTATACGATTTACGTAGCGCGCCGACGTCTCCGACTGGCACGGCGGCAATCTTCCGCCATATTCAGCCGCAATGTATATAGCACACACACAAACGAAGGAACATAATTCCTACCCTGAGCCACGAAAGCCGGAACTTTTGTCCCGAATCACGCGATCGCTACTTCCAAAAGGACGTCTTATCGTTTCTTGTTTTCTAAGGAACAACAGCGTGACCTCGGCGTGGATGGCTCGCATTACCAGCCGCATAGATCGCAAAAACAGGAATATCAACGTCATCGGTCTAACGAGCGTCGCGATAATCAAAAGGAGTCTCATCATTACGGCTCACCGGGCGAGGAACGCGAGGGCGAAACTTCCGGCTACGCTAGCGATTCCGCGGACGTACCGCAGGCGGGACGAAGTACGTTATTATAGAAACAAATTTTACTCTTTGAAAAAAATCCACATAAAAAATGACAATTTTTTTTTTTTTTTTTTTTATTTAAGGATCTTTGGCTGATGGAAAAGCAACAGTCAGAATGGAAATGACGGAGAAAATGTGGCAGAATCCTTACTGCACCACCCCGGAAAGTTCACTGCCGCCCTCGAGAAGGATCTCGCCCGGTAGAATTTGCGAACTCAACAGGCCGAGGTGGGGCAGTATCTATCAAGACGCGGCGAGAGACGATCCACCGCCGCCTTCCTGGTTATCAAGATTAGGACATTCGAGTCAAGTAATGAGAACTACTAGAGAACTTGTTGAATGTCTGTGATGCTATATACATACTTGGAAATTATCCAAGAAGGAACCATCTTACGTTATTTTATCATCTCGCAATGTTACTTATCTCTCTGTTAAGGTTCTGGTGATCAATCATGATAGCGCGAGCAGTCCGGATAGTTCGACGACCGGTTCAACGGGCTCCGATACGAACAAAGTGTCCTATCTTCGAGGTCAGAACATTCCGACGGACGCGAATATCCTTCAAGAACGAGAGGCGAGACGACAGAAGGCGTTAGAGCTACAGAACGCCATTAAGCAGCAGCTCGAAGAGAAGGACAGGCAGAGGAAGGAAGAAAAAGAGCGGCGGATGAGGGAAGAAAAATTGGAAGATGAACGTATCAGACGCGAACAAGAGAGAGAAAAAGAAAGGTAAAACACAAGATATTTTATGTAAGTTTTTGCAATATAAATATTCGATATGTGTCGTATTATGTAGATTCGAAGAAGAGCAGCGACTGTTGCGCGAGAAAGAAGCGGCGAAGCTGAAGAAGGCGCAGGCGATGCGTGAGGTGTTGGAAGCTGCAGAGAGACTGGCAAAGGAAGAGAAGAAAATTCGGCGGAAACGAGAGGAACACGCGGACGAAAATGCCGACGTAATAACGCGGTCTTCTGCTGAATCTAACGCAATTGCGAACGGCATACGCGAAGAACAGAACTGTTCGCAATCGCAAAGCTCGAGTTCAATCGTCAACCATACTCCCGAGCAGATCGTCAACTATACTCCCAGCCCGAAAGACGTTAAAAAAATCGACAACCAACGAGAAAGCGAGAACGACAAGAATTCGAAGGAAATCTGCACAAGTCCGCGATCCACTCGATTGAACAAGTCCGAGGAAAATACGTTAGATCTGAATCTGAAGTCCCTTCAAGTTCCCGTGAGCAAGGACGTGGCGATCGTGTTGAGCGGCAGGCTGGAGGATCCGGATATTCTGAGCAGAGCCAATCTGCAGCTGGTGAACTTGGTGATGACGCCGAGCCCGCGCAGATTCGCGGAGAACACGGCGGATTATTTGTCTCTGGGTCTGAACACGATTCTGAGGAAGAACGGAAGCGCCAGGAATTCTTCCAGAAAATCTTTGAGAGACACCGCGTCGGTCGTCGTGGAGAACAGACTGTTGACGCCGAGCAAGTACAGAACACCGGCCGGACGTGACTTCGGCACGCAGACCGACGTGGAATCTGATCTTCAGGAGCTGCGCGATAAGTTGCAGGATCAATCGATCAGGGAAGAAGACACCACGAAGGACAGAAAGGACACGACAAACGCCAGCCGAAAAAACGTTGAAAAGTGAGTCGCCCGAACGCGACCTCGATGTCGCATTTCCGGGCTTCTTAGAGCCCGAGCGACGAGACTGTGTTCTCTCCTGCATGCGGTAGTATCTGCCGGTAATTATCTTTATTTCACAGTTTTTATTTTTGCAACGTACAGTTACACGAGCTTACTTACTCGTAAGGACGCTTTGTTACGAAGTAACTAATGAACCACGCGAGGACATTTGTGCAGTAAGTGGAATGCGCTCGTATAATTTTGTTTTTTTTTTTTTGGAAAGAATATTAAGCGTTTTCTCTGGTTGATTTGATTCTTTTTGTTTTTTTTTTGTAAGACTGTATCTATATATGATATCGTTTTGTTAGAGCTTGCTGCTTGAATGTGTTTGGTGAAGCTTGATCATTTCGGCTGGCGTAAATCATTTTCGAATTCATCAATTGCAAAAAACTGTAACTGTATTATATTATTCAAAGGTCTACCAACAACGTGGGCGAGGAAATCTCTATGAAGACACTTTCGCGATCCAAATCGCAGCCCAGAAATACGCTCGATACCAGACCGCGATGGAATGCCAATCGGTAATGTCACCAAAAACAAAACAGAATAATATTTAAATATTGGGGTTTTTTTAAAATATTAATTTATTATAAAACAATAAGTATCGCGTGAAAATAATAATTGATGATTTTAGTCCAGGTACGCGATATCGAACGCAAAGTGAAAAAGATCCGCACTATCAGAGACGATTGCGACTGAGAAGACGCCAGGTTGAGTCCAGCGATGAAGGATCCAGGTACAAAAATAAATCATAAAAAGTAACGAAATAATTAATTTAAAGGAACATATTTATTATTATTATTATTATGAGAATAAGATTAATCACAAACTTTGTATGTACGAGAAGATACAAAAACTCGTAAAATAGAAATGAAAAAATAATAAAAAAGAAAAATAAAATAAAATTGAATATTTGAAGTGTATAATACGTGAGAGAGATACACTACTTTCGTTAAAATTTATATTGAAATATTATCAATCTTTATTGCTCGCAGATCACCGTCGCCCGATAGGCGAAAATCGAATAATGGAAAATCGAAGAATCGAAATGCAATCAGACGTAAAGTGAAACTCGAGAATTACGACGCCGATTTGTCAATGGACAGCCTGAATTCCGTCGTTCCTCTGCGAATCGACAAAAACGGAAAGATTAATATCGAGGATCGTTCCGATAAAATACCGAGTAATACTTGTAATGATAAGACGAGTCACGCAAAACGATCCGAAACTGATACCTCTAATGTCTGGTGCGGGCAAGAGATTTTATCTCAATTGTCGTCGTTGAAAAGCGTACGTAGCGAACAATATCATAAAAGAAAAAAAAATAAAAAGTTTAAAACAATTTGATTTTTGCTGCGATATTTTCTTCAATAGACGTTTGTTTGTTTGTTTGTTTTTTTTTCAGGGACTTTTGATGAAGCAGGTCGAGTGGGACTCCGAGCGATGTTTGGTCTCGCCGGCCGCGTCCGAAATCTTTTAACACACCGAGACTTTTCTATCATCGATCATCTTTTTTGTTTTTCTTTTTCCGTTTGCGTAGAAAGTGAAATCGAGTAAAATACAAAGGGGATTTTGTCGAGAATTATAACGTTCGTTCCTTTGAACACACGGTGAGAAAAGAACTCAAACGCTTTTCTTGCGTTACAGATTTAGATAATGGCTTTCCAGTTGGATGATCTGTTGAAAGACGACAAAAAGGACGCGAATTTGATTCCCGATTTGAGCAAAGCGACTTGCAACTCTCGCGAGGAGTTTCAGCGACTCAAGGAATACTGTCCGGAATTTAAAATCAAACCGGAAAAGGTTCGGATATTATTATAAGAACAAAACAAACTCGTGTTACATGTGATAATTTATCTGCATGTTGTGTTAATTACATTTTTATGTAAAAGATGTTAAACGCTTTTCTAGATATTTATTGTTTTTTTATTTTTGATCATTGTGTGTGTGTGATAAAATTAACAATATTAAAATTTACACGAAGGTGAAAAGAGAAGACACGAAAGTCCGCGACAAAGAGTTTTCCAAGAAAGCAACCAAGAAAGAGCTCGAAGCTATCAACAGAGAATGGGCTTACGGGAATCCGGTTCCGCCGGACATGAGAGGATTGGATTTGCAGGCGTTGCAACAAGTCGCCATCGATTGGCGAATGTTGACTCCCATCAGACCGAAACTTCGTCAGGATGAAGAAATGTTCTCGAGATTGGTAAAAAGAAAAGCTAACTAAACTGGCAATTGTTTTTCTGATTTTTTCTTGACTCTTTCGTGTTTTCGAAGGTGGAAATGGGCAAATTGGAAAGGAAAACCATAATGAAAGAACGACGTTCACCGATAAGCCCGATTAGACGGAGCAAGAATCGCGCGCAAGAAATCGAAAGCAGCGTGAAGACGTGCAAAGAGTGCGGCGAGGAATATTGCTTCGGCGAGTTCTGCGGAGACGTGCTTTACGATTCGTACGAGAGAGTGACGGTTGCCATTCAGCAACCGAAAATCAAAGTGTCAGCCGATACCGAAGCGATAATCGCGAATATGGATCGTAAGAAGAAGAAAAAGAAGAAGGTGGGAAAGAAGAGGATCAAGATCAAAACGTCTAGAAAATCCGCGAGACTGCTGGTCAACAGCAAGACGAGAAGATCGATAACGGATCTTGAAGCTAAGAATGTGAAAGCGAAAGATAACGCGGGAGGACAAAGTGAGAAGCCGGTGAAACAATTCAAAAGAAAATGTAGCAAGTACGCGAAGAAAGGCCATTTGCGCAAGTAATGTTATAATCACGGTTGAAGAACTCTCGTGGGAAATTTGTAAAAATTGCACGTGCTATAAAAAAAAAAAGTACATTATATATGCATACATATCTAGACGTATGTACCTTGCTTTTGCGTAAAATTATTATCGGAAGATATATATATATAAGCAGTTATTCGTAACTTATGTATTACAATATATGAGGAAAAAAATTACTTAAGTTTAAAAAAACATATAAATCTTTGCAAACGTGTATAAGTTTAAAAACGTATAAATCTTCGATAATTTACTTATCTTTCGAGAGATATATACTTGGATAAATCATTATAAATATAAATAGCTTAAGAGAGAGAGAACGTACAAACAATTTATATTTCCGATATAATATAAAATTATAATAACAACAAAATCGAAACGCTCGACGAATAAAAAAAAAAGAATTTCCTAAATTCTTTACGTGAACATTGTATTATTCGTTTATACTCTGTGGTCTCTCGATGTGACAAAGTCGTTAAAAACTATCGAAAAACGCACGGGAAGAAAAAAATACATTTCTCTTTGAACGACAAACGAGTTTGTACCAAACACAAGTGTGTATGTACATATGTAAAAAAAAAGTTGGACGCAGTAAATGCTCTCACACAATTAAATGCTGGAAAAATATAACTTTTATTCAGTTTATCTGTCTTCTTCTTTTCTGTCTCTTTCTACACCTTGTCTTACAAGAGACTTGCCTCTCCGCACAAATTGTTCTCCGCAAATATCACAACCAAAAAGCATTTTTCTGCGAGAAATTTTCTGTTCTCCGAGCGAGACGAGTGGGAAAATAGTAAATATTTACGTATTGTACATATTTTCTCTTGTATGTCACAAATATATATATGTGTATATATATATATATATATGAATATATATATATATATATATATGTGTAGAATATCTCTCACACATATATGCGCAGAATACAATTTAAATTCGCGAAGAAGCGCGCAATTTGCAGAAACAGAATATTTCTCGTCACTTATATCTTTTTCCGCATTGGTTTCGAACGTTCGTATCTCCGTTCGTATATTCTCTTGGTTTTCTCTTAAAATTAACGTTTACGATTAAGCTCTAACAATAAAATTTTAAGTTAATCGGAATACACGCATTTTACACGTATATAATATATATATATATATGTTGTTGTATATAATAATAATAATAATATAAGTTATTTTATAATATATCGTGAATTGTTCTTCTTTAATATTAATTTGTCACACGCTTTTGTGGTCGCAACAACCCTTTAGTGAATAAAATAAATTATACATACATATGTATCACCTATATATATAATCAATGTATATCTATACTTTCGCGACATCGTGCTGTGTCGCGCTCTTCGTCTCCTTATCTTATCTTTACGTTACCGTTCGATATTTCGAATGCGATCAGAGTCCTCGTGTGCGTTGTACAGTAAAAAAAAAAAAAAAAACTGTAGCTACTTCGCAGAGTCACGCGTTGAAATAGGCCAGTGTAAATGCGCTGTCGTTTATTTCGATGTACAAATCGGAGAGGTATTACACATTGTTTACACGAAATTCTGCACGTAAATGCCGTGCCGAGAAATCGTTTCGTGTCGGTTAACGGCTCTACAAAAGATGTACGGACTCGCAACCGTGCTACGCACATCATAAGTCAAATTCAAGAATTCGTCTTTTCACGAAATTGCATACACACGTTACACATCTCGAATATCCGCTCATGTACAATTATTACTCGATGTCACTCGTGAATTTGACTTTTTTTCGTCATTTTTCAGATCACATGCATTTTTTGCTGGACGCTGATCGATTCTTTGGAAATATCCGTAAAATCCGATCGCTATGCCTTTCCGCCAATGCGATGATTAGTAACGAAACATTGCACATATACATTTAAGAAGAACATTGCTCATTAATATACATATGTACAATATAATACTTCTTCGATATTATAGTCAGTTCATTCTGTCTTCTTTCCGATACTCTTTCTTTTTTTTTCTCTTTTTCTTTCTCTTTTTCTTTTTCTTTCTCTTTTTCTTTTTCTTTCTCTTTTTTTCTTTTTCTTTCTCTCTCGTCTTTTTGCTTAGTTAATTTTCGCTCGAACCTCGCCTTGCGCATACGTTGTTCTCCTCGTTCGAGTTTCATCAACGTATCAACACGTAAACATATTCGCAATGTATACTTCGGTCAGATTCAGCCGTACCTCGTCCGTTTCGCGAATATATGTAAGACGACATATACATGTATATAGGCGACGTTGCACCATTTGAAATAGTACTTAGAAAAATATGCTATGCTAAAAAATATCTCTCATATTTTCTCGCCACGGTGCGTTTTCAAAAGCCATGCTTTAATTCTTCGTTTTTTACGCGGGTGTTTAAGTACTCCGCTCGTGTTATATATATGTACACACACATACACACACATACATGTATATATATTTATATTTATGTATATAAATCTCATAAATACTTATATACATAATATAAATATAAATATATGTGTATATATTTATATTTATATTTATATTTATATTTATATATATATGTATAAATTAACGATTAGATCATTAGGAACAGTATTGAATCGTTTCTTCTGTTTGACCACTTCCTCAAATATATAAATCAATTTTATAATTTAGTTTTGTCACAAATATATGTTGCGTGACAAATTCTGTTGTCACAAAGAAAATTCTGCGATAATAATTCGCGATTGTTAAACTGTTATTTAAATTGTTACACAGCAGTCTGTTTTGAATTTACGTTAAATTTACTTCGATACTGTTCGCATTATTATCTAATCTACCGCTTCAGCTCTTTGCGTACATATTCGACTTAATGCGCGCACAGACAAAAAAGAGGACTCGAAAAAAAATCATCTTACACGTTTCGAAGAAACATTTCGCTACATCGCAAATTGAATGAAACTGTGCTCGATTAGCTGTTCAGTTTAATCGTTCGATTGGTCGCAGTCTCTACCACTAATGAGTACCGCATTTCCCGATGAATCGCAAAGAGTCAAGCGATGGGCACGACGGTGAAAGAACATTCACCGCAGTCTTGCGCCTATCGATTATGAAAGACCTAAAATATATCGGGCGGCTGTGAATATAGTGTCTCTACATTATCTCCTTTACATACCTCACGGAGTTATTGTACGAAGTTTAGTCTCGAGCGTAAACCGAAAAGAAAGATGATGCTTTTTTGGCACGGGACATGTACAGTTTCATATAGGCAATTTGATTTATGCGCGATAGCAGTTGTTGTTTGTTTGCCGATTCTCTCTAGCTCATTCTATTTTTGGTTTTTTCCTCCTTCCCGTCACAAATAAACTCGATTCCTTCTTTTCTTCTATATTATTTCACACACGATGGTCAATGTAACACACATTTTCGTGAAACAGAATATATGTGCAACGCCCTGGTTTTCTACTTGGTCGCAATGATCTCGCACGTGTATTACTTGACGTGAGAATGCATTAATGTTCGGTATATAAAATATGAATGGCTATTAGAACAGTATAGGTATATCTCCCCGTCAAAATTCTCGTCGACACGCAGAAACTACGTGAGTGATTTCAGCATGAGTTTAGTTTCACGACATTCAAGTCAACGCTCAGGTATAGGTATTCTTATCACAATATTGTCACACATCTCAAGTGCAATCTCTCCCTCTCTCTCTCTCTCTAACTCACTCGCGCGCACATTCCCTCTTTTTTCTTAAAATTAACTCGATATAATTATCAATAATAATTTTACATGTTAACGAATAGCTCTTGATTTGTAAGTCATTAAGAACAAATCCTGTCGTATAACGTGTACTCTACAACAACGATAGCAACTTGTTTCACTCACACTGAATTACCCTTTCGTATAATATAATCTATACATAAATATATATTTTAAATATCCCTTTTCTTGTTTCGTTTTTTCTCTTGCTCCCTCCCTTCCCCCTCTCTCTTCCTCTCTGATAAAATATAGAACATTTTGAGAGAAATGTAAACACTCTTGATTAGCTATCTGACATTCTTATTAATGTACAACGCTCTTGTGCAGCAATAGCCTTATAGAGCTTAACATCTAATAGCGATAGAAGATAACACACTTTGTTTAATAGCAATATTAACGAATTGTGTACAATACATAAAGTATGCAAATCACTTCAAACGCGTGATTACGAGATTGAATCTATCGTCTTTTTTTTTTTTTTTTATTTTTTTTTATTTAATACACAGCATGAGGAACGAACAGCTGAACCGCGTCGTTTGTTTGACCGTTTTGGTTAGCACTGCTTAATGGTTTGAAATGTTTATGCGATCAAAAAACATTAAAAATCTCATGGAGATATGAAGTATAACAGCAATAATTATTATGCAAATAAGTAATTATTTACGAATGACATTAGAATATATCTCGTGTAATTTTTTCTTTTCAGTTCAATATTTATCTACACAAGTGCGCGCAACAGAAAGTTTCGTCTTATCAATGTTGTTATTCGTTGTCGTTTTCACGACTTATATTAACGCCAATAATATCTTGTTCCGCAAAACTCATATTATTGATATATTCAATCAAGTGCTAACCTGTGCTAATCGTTTGGGAAATGAATCTTCTTCGACTTTCTGTGTTCGTAAAAAAAAGTAATATCCTTCTTTCCAATATAAACGCGACTATCATATAGAAAAATATAATATCTTTTAGGAAAGAATTTTAAAACGTCAGCAATACAGGAGTTCTCAAAGATTGTCCTTTACTGTGGATTATAACTATGAAATGTATTAGATGTACTTTCTACGTTTGCAACCGTTCCTACACGTACAATTAAAACATTAACAAGATGAAAAACCAGCGTTTTTAAGTAACACCGAGATGACGTGCAAAATAATTTCTTCTTAATATAAGGAATAATAGCACGATCATATATAGGATATTTCTTTCAAGATTCCTCAACAAAAAAAGATACAAATGACATAAGTAATAACCATATCTAACAGTTACAAACTTGGCGATAAAGATCCACCATTTATACACACATAGACCTATATAATTATATAAACAAGATAACATGCCCCAATATAAACATGTGTGTATAAAGAGATATCTAAGAAATCTAATGTATATATATATGTATATATAATTGTCTAGCAAATGTGATAACTATGACTCATACAATTCTTATTAAATGCAACATGGTAGACTAAGAAAAATGAAGAACATATAAAAATTCTTGTTCTCTATGTGTGATGCCGTTCTCTCACGCACAATCAATACACACGCAATCTCTGTATAGTATTGGGATAACACAAAGTCATAAAATGACAACAACCTAGTTAAAACTGGTATCATATATATATATACAAGAGCGAAAGGAACGATTTGGTCACGCAATCGCACGATTAGTAAGTCACTAAAAACACACCTGATTTGTCGAAAGCGACAAATGTCTTTTGGACCAAGCAGGATTCTCACTCTTTCTCTCCTTTTCGCAAAGAACCGTCGTTAAAAGAGTATAATCATTTTTAATTATCTCTACGAGCCTTTTTTTTACTTTTTTTCTGTGGTTTTGCTTCTGTCCAGACATCTAGAACACAGTTAAATCTAAATTAAATTAAACAATTTCAAAGGTAGTATAGTTTTCAGTTTCTTTTTTTGTAGTTTTCCTATTGAAACAAACCTCCCAATTCGTCGAACACGGCGGTTTTCTCTTTATTTTCCGCAACTGCATTTTCTTCCACATTGTTGATCACTTTTTCTACATCAGATGTTTTCTTCGGCGGCTCGTCCACTGTAGGCTTGTTATCTAACTTCGGTGTAGACGGTATTGAAGCAGGTGTATTTTCACTTTCAGAAACTTTCTTGTTTTTCTTCGATTTTCCAGATTTCTTTTCTTCCTTTTCGACTTTCTCAACTTTCTCAACCTATCAAATCCGATATTTGTACAAAATGTTTATTTTAAAATGTATTTTTATATATGTTACATATTAGTTGTACCTTGTTCTGTTCGTCCTTCTGCTGTACTTTGCCCTTTTCTGTTTTTTCGTCAGAAATAGAAGTAAGAATTACTTCCTTTTTTTCCTTTTCTTTGAGCTCCTTGTTCTCTGTTTCCTTGGCGATTTTATCTTTGATCTCGGGTTTCTCTTGCTCTTTCTGCTTAGCCTCATTTATCAAGTCAGTCTTTTTAGGTGTTTTCTTGTTCTTTTTTGAAGGAGATTCCTCTTCCTTTTTCTTGTTTTTCTTATCCTTGCGTGAATAAGCTTGTTCCCAATCTCCTATTGTCAGAAATATACAGGTTAACACCAATAGATAACAACACAAAAAAATTCTATATAGAGATAAGAATATTATCTACTTTTTATGCTAATATATGTAAAAAACAGACTAACCATCGTCAAAGTCCACAGGTTTTTCCTGGAACAAGTTCTTCAAATTTTTCTTGTTCTTTACTTGCTCTGCTTTATTCTCCTTACCAGCCTTAACTGAAGACTGTTCCTTCTCTTTTTTAGTCACTGATATCTTATTGTCTTCGTGTTTGCGTTCCTTCAATTTTCCATCAACATCATCTCCCTTTGCTGTCTTCTTTGGTGCTTCTGGTTTTGCATTTAATGTTTTTTTGGCTGGACTTGTTTTTTCAGATGCAACTTGTCCATTAGCAGCTTTCTATAATACAGATATAAAAATCGATCCTGATAGTTTTATATTAATTTAACAAATTCTTTAAAAATTTTATTGCTTTTATTACAAAGTTTTATATCTTATTTGGTTAACATATAAACCTAGATTTTCTTTAAACTTTTCTTACTCAATAAATGTCTACAAACTTCTTGTAATGAAACCAGATGCAAGTAATGATGCTTCAAAAAAAAGAGAAAAGCAAAACCTAAATATAGAGAGTGCAGAGATAAAAACATAGTAGTCTTACTAGAGAAAATTAAACTTGTAATGAATTGTAGAGAATTAAACTTGTGATACACGAGACTAATTCATCACAAGAATGCCATAGGTGGCAGAGGAAACAAACCCTCCGCGTCATAAGCATTACGTCACAGTGCGCGGGGGAAGAGGAAAGAAAACAGCCACCTCACAAGCTTCTCTTTCAGACTGGCGAAACCAGCTGATTAGCAGAGATGTGTGTGTGTCTGTGTGTGCATCGACTAGCGCCTAGCACCTGTGAAAGAGCTTCACCATATGGTGGAGCGATTGTCAAATTGTCTACGGGGAAAAAGGCCGCGCGGTGAAAGGAGGAAAATAGCGGGTAGCCGAATGTCACTTCACTAACCTTCTCGCGAGTCTTGGTGCGTTTCTTGCCGAACTTCCGATCGACGTCGGAGCTAGCAGAGAGCTGCGCGAACGGCGGCTGTTCGGCTTTCTTGAAGCCGAAGACAAACACGAGAATGGCGCATATCAGCACGATACCTACGGGAATCGCGTACACATATTGCGAATGTTGCAGCAACAGGCCGACGTGCTCCATGGCGACGTACGTACTCGTGACGGCCGAATTTAGCGTTTGCGTACCCGGGACCCGGGGACGTTATGCGGACAATGATGACGGCAACGTCGATGATGATAGCAGCAGCGAATCAGACGGCTGACACGACGCGACATGCAGACAAATCTGCCAGCAACGCGGCAAGCTCCGCGCACTCTGGCGGATGTGCGACGATGTGCCTTGCCAGGCGGGCGTCTACTAAGCGCTGACGCGGCTGTGACGCGTATCTCGGCCATTTTCAGAGCGCTGCATAATTTCACATTCAAATGTGAAAGTCGCCGCGACATATGAATGAAAAAAAACATATAAATTTGAAATCATCCAAGTTGCAATTTTTCACAGTAATAATATTATGACATATTTAAGCGAGAAATGTTTAATTTTAAACGTAATTAAATAAATTATAATTGTTTAAATAAATTTAGATGTAAAATAAATAAATTAGTTGCACAGTTATTTCGGTTTTTTTACAAAAAAAAATGAATACATAGTTTTAGAGCATCCCTTACTAGAATGTCTCCATTGCTGTCCCAACTCCAGCAAGTGTTCCGCACGCAACGCTATCTCCACTTTGCCGCATTTCTTCCCTTATGTGCAAGTAGGATTCTTTTCTCAATTTAAAATATATACTTTTCGATCTTCTTTCCGTTCTGATATGTGTTTTATTCTAATATGCGTCAGAAAGAAGCATGAGAGCACCTGTCCCATTGAAGTTTCTTACATTAATTATGACTGTCTCTCAGTAGCTGTTTTCTCAGTATTATACATATATAAAAGTAAATGTAAAAAAAAGCAACATCCATTTTCAAACGTAAACAGTACAAATGTAATCCCCGGCTTGAGTCCGTGCTGCAACCACATTTAAATAGTTTAAACACAGATTCTTTAGATTCTATTTACATTATATCTCCTCTGTGTGTAATTTCGGAGAAACAAGTATTGAACTATCTTAGATAAAACATCTCGTATATATGAAAGTATTCGTGTACTGAATACAGTGACAATACATATTTCAAAAATCATATTTTTATCACTGTTCAAATACTTCTCGTAGTACAACGCGGTAGTTGAACAACGCGGTTATTTCGATACACCGCGTTTTATAGTAAAATAAAAACTAATCCATTTTTTTTTTTACTTATGCGCGCTTATGCAAATCTCGTATCACCGCGATTTAGGCCTGGTTTATGCGGGCAATAACTGTTAACTTATGCCGGAACCGGTAGAGTTTAACTATATAGGATTCCAATACTTCTGTTTATATGCATTCGGCAATTTTGTATAAAAACAGAAGCATTGAAATCCTATAGTTAAACTCTACCGGTTCCGGCATAAGTTAACAGTTATTGCCCGCATAAACCAGGCCTTATAAAACGCGGCATTTCTATAGAACAGTATATTCGCGTTGTACACTCGAAGTCAAAAATTTGTTTCGTGGACGCGGGAAGCTAGGGGTAAAGAGGGACGGGTATTCCCTAGCGTTAAATAGCGCCAACGGGCGCCGCCCTAAGGCTGTGTTCAGTTAAGCAAGATGGAACGAACTAATGGAGGAAATGCAGGAAATACAGGAATTGGAACTAATGAATTCCTGTATTTCCTGCATTTCCTGCATTAAGTTCGTTCCATTTTGCTTAACTGAACACAGGGTAACTGTAGCAATTATCTGATCCACAATTGCGTCGTGTCGATATAATGTCAATGCTTTCTTTGACTATTTGTGTCTGAAAACGTAAAACTATTGGTCTGACTATTGGTTTCACAAATGCACATATGTGTGTGTGTGTGTGTGTGTAAATTACTTTATAATAGTTTACGTAGCTAACCAATGTTTGTATATTTAATAGCATTCGGGCTCGTGCTCGGGATGTTGTGACTATATGATCGCCTTGTGGAAGGGGAATTAATTCGGAATTACACCCGAATTAATTTTTGGAGGCCCGATTTATAGTTCTCGCTGATCAACCGATAAACGACGGTTGAAAGAGACCGGCCCGGAAAAAATCCTTACCACCCTCTATAGAGCTGCGTTCGGAAACGTCACTCGCGTATATTTTATATCTTTATTGCTCATTAGATTAATTAGATATAAAAACAAAGATAGAATGATGTTTCGTGTGTACGCGAAGATGGGTGAGCGGATTCGAACTCGGGACCTCCGGGTTCGCAGCCCCTGCACTCAGGCAGCGAGACCACTGGGCCGGTCTCTTTGCAATTACATTCTTTTGTCTATCAAGGATTACATGTAAACATTTAATTTTATATGCATTATAATGTGATAATTAGGCCCGCATAAACCAGGCCTTAGCTATGCTCCTTCCAGTATATATGTTCTAAAGAGGTACCCCGTGCCTTATTTACGCGAGTAAAGGCCGAAGCACAGACTTTTGCATAACGCATAACGCATAAGACATAAGAAAATCAACCAATCCAGCCTTTTGTTTTCATCCCTACCTTTTTGTTCTAGAAAGCTTTTGATTAGTTGATTCTCTTATGTCTTATGCGTTATGAGTTACGCAAAAGTCTGTGCTTCGGCCTTTAATACAGGAATTGAAATGCAGGAATAGCAGGAATTGAAAGAAGTTGAGAAAGTGCAAACAACTGTCTGCTACTGCGCATGCTCCGCAACAGATCCGGGATCCACCTTCTCATTTCTTCTTTTGCACTTTCTCGATTTCTTTCAATTCCTGCTATTCTTGCATTTCAATTTCTGCATTTCCTGCGTTTGTTCGTTCTCTCTTGCTTAACCGGACACACAGCCTAGAGTTCGATCCATATATTCTTACGTCCATAGCGCGTAATGTTGTCACTTTGCTCGCTTTTCTTTCCCTATGCGCGGATCAATTCTCTACGCGAGATATATCAAGTAATGCGCGGATAAAGAAGTGCGATGTTATCTTGTATTAGTGATCATATGAAAACTCGACGCAATCTTATTTACACTGTTTTCCGTGTCGCTGAGGAAACTCAATTATCGCAGAGCCATAAGTGCGCCAAGACCAAGACTCAATTATCGCAATATAATTATTCACAGAATTATATCGCATGGTTTTAATTGTCGGGTTTTAGTCAATTTTTAACTGTCTACAATGTTGGAGGGAGTAAAGCACGTGTTATTAGTGCTTTCGGTAAAAGGTGGTGTCGGCAAATCGACAATCAGCACCCAATTGGCACTTGCCTTAAAGGAATCGGGTTTTCGAGTGAGTGTGATCTCGAAGCATTTATGTTTTTAAAATAAAATATTAAATATATATACTTAAGTTGTAATATTTGATAATTGTAGAAAGAAATGTTATTTTTTTTCTATATATATTACAAGTGCGTAATAGAAAATAATTAGTCGGTAGTTTTTGTGTTTCTTCTAAGCTTTAAAGTAAACATTAAAAAAAAAACTTGAACAAACTTGTTAAGGATTATATTATTTATTACATATGACAGGTTGGAATTTTGGATGTTGATCTCTGTGGTCCTAGTGTACCTTACTTGCTGAATTTAGAAGAAAAAGATGTTTACAAGTCCTCTGAAGGGTACATTCAATATTGTGATATAAAATTATATTTATCAAGTGCACACAAATCACAAACTTGCGTTATAGATGGGTACCAGTATTTGCCGATTCGGAGCAGAAACTATCTGTCATGTCAATCGGTTTTCTCTTGAAGAATCAAAACGAAAGTGTGATCTGGCGCGGTCCCAAAAAGAATGGTATGATCAAACAATTTCTGACAGATGTAGTTTGGCAAGATATTGATTATCTGATCATTGACACACCACCTGGTACTTCTGATGAACATATATCAGTCATGGAGAACTTGAGGTTAATAAGTAAATAATAAAAAATTTATAATAGCTGATATATATTCAATTTGTTAATTATTTTATTATATTGTTGTTTAAAATATATATATATATATATATTATTACAGAAATATAAACTGTGATGGTGCAATTATAGTTACCACTCCTCAGCAAGTTGCAGTAGACGATGTCCTGCGAGAAGTGACATTTTGTAGAAAAACTGGAATTCGTATAATCGGCATTGTTGAAAACATGAGTGGTTTTGTCTGTCCTTCTTGTACAGTAAGTAAAATTCAGTTCACATTCAATTACCGCTCAATTTACAAATTATTTAATATGTTCAGGCATTAATAGATTTTATTTTTTACAGGAATGTACTAATATATTCTCTTCAGGTGGCGGAATAGCTCTTTCAGAAATGGTAAAAGTTCCATTTTTAGCAAAGGTACCTATAGATCCACAGATTGGCAAGTTAGCAGACAAGGGACAAAGCGTTTTGGTGACATTACCGGATAGTCAAGTTGCACAAGTATTCAAGAAATTGGTTGAAGAGCTCACCAAGAGCAAGGAAGCTTAGAATAAACAAAATAGACTGTTTTGGCATTGTGTGTAATCTTCAGCATTAGCTGTGTGATACCTGCTTCCCCTGCTGTCACATAGTGTTTCTATAGGAAATATATTTACAGTAAATTGCATATTTAAGTGCCTAAAGTACTTGTATACAAAGTAATAATTTTTATATTGTAATATAATATAGTCGCAAGGAAAAATAAAAAAACGACGCTAGTTCATCACACATAAAAATGCATATTACGTATAAAACAAGAAAAGAGGGAGAATCTAAAAACAGAAAATTTCTCTTTCCAAATGTACATTAAAATGTTTTATTTTTCATAATATTGCTATGGAAACTTAGTTTATGTCGCAATTTTTAAATGTTTTTGAATTAATACACTGTAAAAATCTTATTTGTGACGACATATATATCGTCACTACACAGTATATGTCCTATACACATTCACCACATTTTGTTGTGTAAATTTTTGGAAAACTTTTTATAGAATATATATATGTATATATATTTACTTGTTTCCCCAACCCCAGAGACCTTTGACGAAGCCAGTAAGACCAGCTTGATTCGGTCGTTGAGTCCGATTGCCCGTTTTGTACATTAACTCAGGAAATTCGATCTTGTTAAAAGCCAGATCGAAGAACAATGCTTTACAGGGAATACTGCGCATCGGTGGTGGTAAGATATAAACGTTTGGTTGCTTCGTAAGAAGCGCGGGATCCTCTCTGTACTCGTGCAAACGCTCGTACAGCGAATTTGTGTTCTTAGCATTCTTGCTGCATCTGTCTTCCTGCGTATCGCCCAGAAGACTTTTGGCATGGGCAGCGTACGCTGCAGCTTCTATAGACATTTCCAACTCGTCTAAAGTTTTCTTCATTTTATCCAAGAGATTCCAATGTTTCTTGTTACACTTGATCGCTTTTGTAATGTAGTTCTCTGCTTTTTTATACAAAAGTAGAGCTTCGCGCCAGAGATGCAGATTACCAAACGCCTGAGCTATGTAGAAACATCTAAAGGCTAGATAAACCTTTTTCTTTGCCTCTTGCTCGTCCACATATTCCGGATCGTCTTGCAGCTGAGACATCTCGGTGATATTGTGTATAGCTGCCTCATACAGGCGTACTATGTCCTGCGGTTTAGCTTTTTTCTGTTTCGCCACCTCCACCAGTGCCAGATTGCGTTCCAACGTGCGAGACAGACGGATGTATTGCAAGTAGTTAATTAAATGCTGCGCTGCTGATGACTTTTCGTTCTCCTTATTTTTCAGTTCATTTCTAAAATTCTCGCGCACTATTGACAAAACATCCTTGCAATCTATCAGATGCGCTTCCAGCAGATCAATTTTAGCTTGATTCGTAATGGCTTTCTCCAGAGCTTGATTAAGCGTGGAATCCGCAATGATCAGACCGGCTGCTCTCGGTGGCACCGTGCCGCAAGATTTTCCACGCCACATTACCTCCTCAGTGGCCTGTTTCGCGCGCGTTTGAGCGATCAAAGAATCTAAGCTGGCCATCAGCTCGCCGCTCAGTTGTGCGCGCATTTGCATAAGATCATCCATGGCGCTGATATCTCCGATGTTGTAGGCGCAATATCTGAGACTTGGTGTCAATTCCTCGACGCGCACATTATACAAAACCTGCTCTGCTTCCGGTAATGCAGACGCTAGATTACCATATACAACTTTTGCTTTCTGCAGATTCTCCATAGCTTGTTTCCAAAGTTGTAACTCGAACTGCAAAGAACCATTCATCCAGGCTACATACGCTTCGGCCTCCAGTCTTGTACGTGCATCGCAATTTACATTCTAAATAAAATACAATCAAAATAAAAAATTACAATTACAATTAATTCAATAGAATATTTGAAAAAATATTAACACATTGTTGACCGGTCACGAGTTAACTCGTGTTTTTATGGCCGAACGTTGCTGACCGGTCACGAGTTAACTCGTGATGCGTTTTGTGTACCATTACACATAGGTGATTGTTATACTGCTTATCATACAAAAAAGAAATATTAAAAGTTGAATAATAAATAAAATTTATTAAAGTTTATTTTTATTGTTTTACTTCCACTTCCAATTACGAAATAATAGCCGGTGACATGAGATAAATTTTCAGTAAAATTGCCGGTCAACAATGTGTTAAAATATTAAAAAAACGAGGATAAAAAAATTATTATTTCTTTTTTAAACAATGATAAACGACATATACACATGCCTCTATTAATTCTTGCAATTGTGAAGAATATAAAGCAGCTTTTCTCAGTCTGGATATCAGATGAAACTTTTTTCTGGGTTCTGTATTCGATTCCTGACGCAGTTGCATTGCGTAGCTCCAGGCACGTTCAGCCATTATTAAGGGCACTTGCAAAAACTTGTCATCAGTGACCATGGCTGGGATGATATCTTTTCTCTTAAAATGTCGTCTATCACCCTGCGGCACTTTCAATGCTTTTCGTAATCTTTTCAGTCTCCTAGAACAATAACCTCGATATCTCTGATAATCAGCGTGTCTCAACCCATGTTGTTGTTGAGCTTCTTTGATTATTTTTAATACTATGTACGTTTGTTAAGGTTGTATATACAAAAGATTGTACAAAAGTGTACTAACATATTATATAGAAAAAAACACACTTGTGTATTGTCAGACATGAACTTTGATTTAAAAATAAAAAGTTTAAATCGAATTAGAATAAATTTGAAATTAAATGTTTGTTAGAATTAGTCATTTGATAAATCGTTATCTATAGAGAGAAAACTAGTGTTCTACATCCATACAAATTTTCCATAGACGTAAAAAAAACTCTGGCCAACCTCAAGGGACAAAATAATAATAATAATTAGGTTATCGCAAACTTGTGATATTTTACTAATATTTGATCAATTTTATTGATACATAAAAAGTGCAGTGCAAAAAATACGAAAGGTTAGGACACAGCATATGGCAATGATAATTCTTTTAAATTTGCGAGAACAGTTTTTACAAAAGGATACTTTCCAAAGAATATGTTTTTGTTTCCTTTCCCGTTCCATCTTGATTCTCCTTCGAAATATCCGTTTTTTCTTCAACGACCATTGTTTCGTGTGACAACACCACAATTACCTCTCATAAAAAAAAAGGGTTTTCAGACTTTAGAAAACGTGCATACTGCGGTGCAGCACACGCACACACGTTAACACGTTTTGCAAATGGCGTCTTCCTTTCGAACACGCAATGCAAAATCTACACGCATGTACGTTGAGAAGATACGAATGCTTTGAAGCATCATTTAAATTTTATTATAAATGTTATAAATAATTTAACAAAACTTTATATTTAAATAATTTACATTTATATTCTTATATTGCAGATATATTAAAGATAGAACGATAGTTCGAAACGTTTGTAGCTTTTTATTTTGAGCGTAGCTGAAATGTCATCATTGGTTGAACAACGCGCTTAAAGGTGAAATAACCTCTTGTCGAATTTTGGCGGTTAAATTTTTCAAAACTTTGCGACGCCGGCTATATAAATCAATTTGCGGCATATCGAACGTGTACGTTTAATGTGTGTGCATATGTTTATAACAATCTGCAATAATACGGTTCTTTGATCTAACTCCGAATAATATATGCAAAGTCATTTCTAACAATCCGAATAAACAATGGCATCGACTGACGAGTCGGAAGCCGACATCGAGATGAAAATTCACAAGACACTGTACTCCATCAATGACATTACCGTGAAGATGTAAACTTTTTTTTATACAGGTTTTAATGGATATGTATATATATGGTTTAAGTGTTATTTTGATTGAAATTTATGGAAATCCTATTTGTAGAAAAAAGGAATTGGAGATGATAAATGAATTTGTGAAAAAGGACGGGCATTTGCACACGGTGGCAAAAGCGGCGAACGAGGTTTTATCCAAAAAGGCTCAAGAGATGGGACTAAACGTAGCAGAGATCACTGATCAGAGTAAACAGAAAGGAAGGTCAGATTCTACTTTGATTACAGCCTCAATAGTTACAGAAAAAATGGATCAACTTATGAATAACGTTTAAAAAACTATGAAACTGATATTTTTTTTCCATTATTGTACATGTATTATCCAATTATTTGTACATATTGATATATACATATATATACATTTCAATTTTATTATCTATTAAGAATCATACACATTCCTAATTCTTTTTCTTACATGTGTATATATATATATACATATGTATATCCCTTTTTGTATAAATGTATACCTATAAAATAGCATTTTACATTAATTGATAAATGATTGTAAATCTTGTTAGCCTTTGGTTTTAAGTTGTTTCAGCAAGAATAAGATCAAACAACGAAGTTATTGGCATGATATGACACTTTTGCTGATAAGTTTGATTGTCATATCTATAACTTCGATTCTGTTAGCCAACTGAATTGTTGTTTCTTACGATCTGCTTGTGGATTGATCATAATGTTTATTAAACTAGGGCCATCCATCACCTAAAACAAAGCGTATTTATTTTTTAAATATTTTGTTATCATATCCTTACTTTTATATTAATTGTTTTACCTTTAGAGATGACTTTAATGCCTTTTGAATATCCTCTACAGTAGTGCAAAAGTGTCCCGTCTTGCCAAACATTTCCATTAACTTTTCATAATGAGTCTCACACGTCAGAGAATATGGAGGTGTTCTAGAAATACAAATATGTTTTTAATAATTCTATTCCATATCTAAATATCTGATTATAAATATTCACGTAAGAATTATATGCAATTTTGATAAAAATTGAAAAATCTATACTGAAGAAAAGCGTCAAAAATATATTAAAGTATTTTCTTCGTAATATATTTTTTGATATTTTTGTACAATATCAAGACAAAATGCGTACACTTGTGTCGCTTCTCCAGATGCTTGTAGCTGTCTGAAGGTTTCATTATCGAAACCGCCGTATATGCCGTTATTATTTACGATTATAATAATCACAGGCAATTTGTATCTGCAGAAAAAAAAGAAGGTCGTTGTAATTATATGCTCGACAATTTATGCGCACGCGAAACCAGCTCGGTCTCGTCATTTCGTAATTTCGCGTAAATTAAACTTTACCGAAACATCGTCTCTATTTCCATGCCGGAGAATCCGAAAGCGCTGTCTCCTTCCACGCAGATCACTCGCTTTTTCGGCGCTTTATCTTTGCAGTAAAGAGCAGCCGCGATTCCAAAACCGAGCCCCACGCCCATGGTGCCGAATGTACCGGCGTCGAGTCTGTGTCGAGGTAGATTGTTCAGAAGCATCGTTCGTCCGATATCCATTGTATTTGCTCCCTCGGAACAAATAATACTATCTGTAAAAATATAAAGACCAGAGGGAATTGAAGAAGGAATGTTATATACAATATTAAACTATCTCGAATCGTTCTAACTATCGTTCGTAATTAATTCTTCGCGGACAGACATGGGTCTCCCAAACCCACTCAAAAATTGCGCGTCGGTGTCTCTAGTAAAAATTAGTTCTTTTTTTTTTTAAATGCTTACATCTTCGAAACTATTAGAGATTTTTTCAATTTGTTTTTTTGATTGACGTAGAATTGTTTAAACTTTTGATTTAAAAACACAAAAAATTGAAAAAAAATATCGATTTTTCGCGAAGATATTCGATTTTAAAATCGCGTGAATCTCACAGATCCAGTCTGTCAAACTGGTAGAACATTTTTGAGAGTTTGTCCACGAAGGATTAACTGACGCGAATCGATACGTCGAGAAAGAAAATTTATATAAATTATACAAAAAGATGTGTGCTCACCCTTTGGTATGATATCTTGAATGTGCTTGAAAACGGCGTAGTAATTCAGAGGCACGCTAGTATCCATTGACATACGCTGTAACGAATACATATGCGCAACAATTAAATCACATTGAAAACAAATTTCAAAGCGCAATTAGAGTAACACTCACGTAAACTGATTGCTTATTCTTCTCGGCTTTCTCTGTGAGACTTTTCCACCACAGATCGTTTCGATCGGCGCGCCATTTATGATCTTTCAACGCGTTCGCCAGGTAATCCGTCGCGGGCGCAATGTCGGACTGTATGGCGACGGCGGCCGGCACGGAATTGTGCAATTCCTCGGCGCACAAATCAATCTGCCGAGTTTTTAATTCATTGTATATTTGCCACGTACATAGTGATTTAGAGATCTTTCTCTACTTTTATCTGATATAAAAAAAAATGTTTTTAAGTTTTCATAAAAACTTTTATTTCATATTTTAACTTTTTTATAATATTTTATAGTATTTTTTTTTTTTTTTATATCAGTTGTCTCTGATTTTATATCGCGACAAGCAAGGACCTTGAAGAAATGAACAGGATAACTTACAGCTTTAGAATTTTAAAGAATAAAGCACACTTTGACGATCGAAAAGAAGCGTTGTTAAAAAACAAAAAAAAAAAAAAAACACCGCTGCCAACTTACTTGTATGACTTTAACGTCTCTTTGGAATCTGGGTGGCCGTCCGAAGTGCAACATCCAGTTCAATCTCGCGCCTAGCAGCAAGATCACATCGGCGTTTTGCAAAGCGTACGTACGCGCGCTGGAAACACAACGTTCGTCCACATCCGGTACAACGCCTTTTCCCATGGGCGTGGGTAAAAACGGAAGATCCGTTGAATAGATGAGTTTTTGCGCTGGTCCTTCCGCAAGCCCATAAGCAGCTCCTACAAAAATCACACACACAAAGAAATAAATGGAGAAAAAATAATCGAAAAAAAAAACTCTTACAATTAGATAGTCGAGGAGACACTTCTCTTACAAAATTCCCAACGCGCATACCTTTGCCGATTATCACTAAAGGTTTCTTTGCCCTCATCAATAAGTAAGCTGCGCGCTCAATCAAATCCTGATTAGGATACGTCAGCGGCGGCGGCGGACAGGGCGAGACCGTGATTATTTTGCTCTCGTCCACATTTTGGGTTAGTAACGTAGCAGGTAGATCGAGATATGCGGCACCTGCGAAGAAAAAACGCAATTACGGATTAAAACCAAGAGAAAAACATCGCAACGTGTGCTGTCATCGCGTACAATCAAAGGCGATTCTCAGTCGCAATCTTTTGGAGGACATTTTTTTGAGAAAATTTAACATAAACAATAAGAGAAAACATTTTTTCTTGTAATAATATATATTAAAATTTAAAATCTTTTGAGATAATGATAGCGTGAAAATCTGATTTGTATTATATCTGTTACAAAAACAAATCTATTTTCTCTCTATTTTCGCCACGTCTATTTAAACATCAGGTGCATTATAATTGGCGCAAAAATAAATTGTGGTTTTTGTTATTTAACACGTATTTATTAAAATTGATTAAATAACAAAGACTAATTCAAAGACTATTAAACAAAAACCGGAATTATTTTTGCGCCACTCTGATATTATTCATGCAAAAACGCGTTTTAACATATGTAAAAACTTAGAATGCTTGTCATTTGCTCTTTGGCTACCTGGCCTGCCGTAAGTGGACAATCGTACGGCCTTTTCTACATGCGTCGGGATGAGCACTGCCGACGGTGGTCTTGCTGCATATTTACAGTAAGGCCTGCTAGCTTCTACCTGAGGCCATTCCTGAAACCCGCCTATTCCTTCGTGATCTTCGGGACAAGATCCACCTAGCACGAGCACAGGCCTACATAAAACATCCATTCGATAAGAAAAACGATGGATGAACAACTAATCGGGGAAATTGAATTACTTAATATTCAGAGAAGTATTTTGTTGTATTTTTTGGTATGTTTTTTTATCATAAATATTGAAATTCGAAAAGATACGTAGAAAAATTATATAATTAAACGAAAAATATATAATTAAAACGAAACAAATATATAATTTTTCTTTTGCTGCGCAATTAAATATATTTGATATATATTAAAAAAATCTCTCTTGGATTTGATGGCTCGCGTGTTATGTTTTTGTGAACACGAGAAATGCGTCGCGCGCGTGCCTAACTCGCGTGTTTACCTATGGTCGGAAAAATCCATAGAATGGAAGTGACGTAATTTCCTTGATCCATTGCCACGATATCAATGTTATGACGAGATTGTAATCAGAAGTTGGATGACAAGTTGACATACAATTTTCACGACAATTGTACAGACACGTGACAAAACAAATTACTACGAAATTGTCGTGCACATTAGATGTTTTCCGCAAAACTCACGAAAGGAACATTAATCATTTTTTGTTTCAAGATGCTATCAAGATTCTTTGTGTGACTTTTATGTATTTTTTTTTAATAAAGATAAATTTTTCTTTTAATTAAGTTTTAATGTTATATCCGTCAAAACACATAACATTTATAGTTTGCTTGAATTTGACAAAATTTAAAAATAAAGTAAAGATCGCGTGTCTCACTGCTCACCAACAATTTACTTGCGCGTTCGCCATACCGCCGATAACGTGCAACAATCCCGGTCCGGAGACGCATAATACCACTGCGGGTTTTCCTAAATAAAGAAAATTTCTTATTTTCTCTCGCTATGAGATTTGCGTGTTTCCTCTTCACATTATATGTATAGAGATAAATTATTTTATTTATTTAAAATATAAATATGTTAAAATACACTATTGGTTTTTATATGCCGAGATTAAGATTGTCAAATTTAATAAACTAAATGTATAACTAAAAATTTCGAAAATCCATCAAATTTAACATAAACATAACAAAAATTATGTAATTTATATTTATCATTTACTTATTTATTTACTTGTTAAATATCCGTAGGCTTGAGCGGCGTAACAGGCGGCCTGTTCGTTTCTGAAACCTAGATATTGCAAGCCGACGGCTTGCATGCTCAAAGACAGCTCGATCACAGGATGACCCATGATGCCAAAAACGTAAGTCAGTCCCTGTATAATTTTAACAATGTATCAAGACACTCACAAGAAAGACATTTTTTTTACGGTGAAATTTAAGAAGATAAAGATTAACATTTTTTTATTCGTAAAAATTTTATAATTTGTGTAAAATTACGTTTGTGTTCGGGAAGAAGTTAAAATTAAGGATCTCTTCTTATTTCTCTTATTTCGTCGGAAGGTCGATAAAAAAAGGTCCATTGGTCGTGATTCAAGATCACGCGTTCGATTTAAGTATTTCAAATATCTTTTTTTTCTACACATTCATTCTCACGGAATGTATTCAAGATATACGGGGCAACGTACGTTTATCAATGCGATGATAATGTGCGCTTCGACAGACAAAAGAACAAGAAAAAAACAAAACAAAAAAAATAAGGCGTAGCCAACGCTCTGCCTTGGTATTTGTTGCAGTAGCGTCGACAAATGTGACAGTGTGTACAAAGTAAAGTGATCGAGCGTGATCGTTGTCATCCGGTATGAATCAGGAATACGACGATCGTACACCGTTAATTGCGTCACAAAGAAAGCGTAAGTATTATATCATATTGATAAGGTATTAAGTGTTATGTACATATAAAAGCCGTTTGTACTGAACAATGTTGATTTGCGATAACGCGATGATTGCTTGGCGTTTTGATTCGCAATAAGCGTGCTATGCAAAAAGTGCAGCCGTGTCTGAATTTTTATCCTCGACTCTCTGTCTTTCTTTCTCGTTTGTCAACATTATTATACAGAAAACACTATTTATATAAAAGACAAATTGTAATTAATCACAATGTAAAAAAAAATAGAATTAGAAATATTATTATTTATAACTTACACGAAAATATTGGGAGAATTAAGAAGATTTATATTTACACTACATTAAATAATAATTTACAGTACATTAATTTACAGTATATTAATAATTAATACATTTACAGTATATTAATAATTTACAGTACATTAATTTACAGTACATCTAATTTGTGTGTGAATATTATCTATACAATATTCTTTTGTGCATAAGAGATAAAGCGACGTGTATTAAAAAAAAACAGAAACCGTACAAAGGCAGAAATAATTATCGTAAGTATTAAAAAAAAAAAAGACAAAATAAATATACGCGCGAAAGAGATCTGGTAAAAATAAAAAAGTTAAGTTTATTTGTTAAAGGAGAGACAGAACGCGAAAGAAATTTTGAACGATGATTCAAAAGAGTGAATCGATACGATACAATCTTCACCTTTCGATAACTCGCTATATATGTTGTATATATATATATGTATGTACAGCGAGTTGCGCCGTAACTCTCGTTATTCAGCAAGAAAATCATATGGCCATAACCTTCAAATCGAACTGGGAAAATCGAATCGATCTTTACTACGAAATGTCTTGTTGACGCGTGTCAATCATTGTGCAAAGCTTTAATGCCAAATTCGCTCGATGACAATGATTCTGCATATTCAACAATTGCGAAAAACCAATAGATTTCGAAATTTTTCAATTTCTGTGTCTCTTGATCAGTATTCTAAATTATTTTTGCTCCGTAAAGTTTCCTTACCTGTTCCTTCAGGGCTTCCGCCAAAATTTGGTTTCCGCTCTTCATTTTCTTTATATTCTCATACAAACACTTCTTCAACAATTGAGTTACGCGAGAGATAACAAAGCGATCACTTGTGGTGACACTCTTGCCGACGTTGCCAACTAGCAACTGATTGAGCGACCGTTGTACGTTGTACTCTGTTCGATTTCGTTAATGAATATTCTCACAGATAACAAAATCCATAAACACTTTTGTTAAAAATATTCACATCTCTTGAAGCTACGGACGTTTTACGGAGGTTTTAAATGTCTATAAAGTGACAAAATTCAACAGCATATTTAATTATTTCTTGACCATCATTTTCCAAAGTTGTAAATACGAAACTGCGTGTACGTGATCCTTTGCAATGTGTTCTCTGATAGGAAAACATTTATTTAAAATTATGTGACGAAATCTTGCACTAAAATTGTAATTTGCAATTATGCAGATATATTTCAGGAAATAGATGTAAAAGCATTGATCTTTTATCAAATATTTGTAGTTGTTTGCAAAATTAGCTTTGCAAATACTATTTCAGCAAAAGAATAACGATATGGCGAATCATCTTAGCAGTATATTTGCAACATTAATTTCAAAAAGAAATTGTCCAATAATTGAGAAAAAAATTTCAGCTATGTGATGTTTAAAATATGTAGAGAAATATAATTGCATACGAAGAAATCAACTTAATTCATGTATATACTTAAGGAAATGCACATAACGACTCTTTCGCAATTTTTGACAAATATTATTTACAAAATTTTATTTCGACAATTATTGCAAAATCGTCGTTATTTATGATGCTATTTTTGTGCAATTATTTTCACAATTTGCCTATTAGAGTTGTCACATATATATAAAAAAAAACAATAAGATAGATGTAAAAAATGTATATAACAAGATTTATAAAATATTTGCTCATACAGACACACAGCGTCCATTAAACGTCTAATGGACGCCATAACTCCATGTGACTATTTAATGGAAATTTGTATAGAATGTTGAACCACCCGTGTGGAGTTTTTGTTATAACTAAAACTTAAAAATTAAGCATTACATGAGAATAAATTGATACTCGGAAAGTTCCGTTTGCCATCCAGCGAATAGAAAGCCGGTAGAAAGCGAAATAACATAACAGTTCGGGAATGTCATTACCACGAAAACAGTAAGACGGCGAATAACAATGAATTAATACTTCCATAATGATTGAATAAAAATTTAAGTGTCTGTAGTTGCGTTTGTTGGCAGAATTTCGTGTTCCTACTTGTATAACGTATGAAAACAATATAAGAAACAATTTCAAATGTACAATTGCTAACAAATATTAACATTGAAAAAATATTAACATTTGCAAAATACAAACTTAAATATGTCAATAATAGATTAATAATACGTTAATATATATTTACATATTAAAATTACATATATTAATCATATTTATATTCAGAAGATATCATAAAGACAAACAATGTTAAATTCACATAATGATTTTATATAAAAAATTTAAACTCTTAATGTTTATTTGTTTGCAAATGTAAACTTTTTATTTGAGACTTTCCCATTAGCAGCTGTGAGTTTTAACAAAATGCATAATTTGCCACTTCAAGTTAAGGTCAGTGCTTGAACTACATTTAAACACTCATCACCGTACGCACAATGGAACGCATGTAAATTGGTGTGTATCATCGTCGTAGATATAGCTTGATGTTTGCACGTGCAATTTACGTTTGCATAATCGGTCGATAACATTAGATATGCGCTATATGTTGACACACACACAGAACAATCTGTGTTTTTTTGTACAATTATTGTTGTTTTTTTTGCAAATTTTTATGGTTACATAGAACAACGTTTCTTTTCAAACTACGTAGAACTACTTGGAACTTCAGTTTTTATAATTACAGTGCTCGTTATAATTGACAAAACAACACGTTACACTCGCGATATATATATATATAGTGTATATAGTGTACACTATATAATTAACAATAATAGTATAAATCAAACGGAGCAAAAGGCCATTAGATGAACGTGAATGAAATTCAATAAAATATTCAATAAATTTCAATAAAATATTTTTATTAACGGAAGAGTTTATATTAAGTGTAAACTAAATTTTTTATTTGAAGCTACTTTAAATTTTAATTATTATATGAAATCATTTTTTTCCTCTCTCTCTCTCTCCTCTCTCTCTCTTTCTTTTTCTCTCTTTCTCTCGTTTTTTCCACCCTTAAAAAACTCTCACCCTTTACCTGTATTTCCGCTCTTGACATCGCGGAGAGGGGGGCATGTATATAAAACGGATTCCCGGTGCCGATTTATATACCTCTGTAAGCATTTGTCAGAAACTAGTCACAGTCAAGTGGTAGTCGTAACTAGTCGCGAGAATTCTCGATCCAACATATATTTCAGAGAAAATGGAAAATTGATATGTTGTGAGTTTGTGTATTCTCGTGAATTGTCGTGAACTTGTGGAGCTATAATTTATATGCTTTTGTGAATCTGAAATTTATTTGACAACATGAAGCTTTGGCATTTCTTTCATCAGCGACTTTGCCGATTGCTAGCACGTAAGATAAATTTTTCATCTTTTCAAATAGAGCGTTTTTGAAAACCGGTGTGAAATGCACTTCATCAACAAATAATATCATCTGCTGAACGAAATATATTTTTTATCTTTTCTATATTTAATTCTCGCAAAATTCGCTTCCAAAAAGTACCGCAATATATATACGCAATTTCCTCACGCGCACAATAGTTTTTTTTGTTACATATAAAAAAGCAAGTGAAATTTCTGTGCTCTTTACATTTCGTCGACGTTCTCGCGTTTTTTGCACGATATTTCGCACGCGAAGTGAATGCAATGTGAAATAAAACTGTCAGTGTGAAATAAAATACTGTTGTTTCTTAAATGTTTCGGTTTTATTTTCCGTGTTACACACACACACAAACTGTGTTCCCGAAATGGGAAAACTACAGCTTCGGAATAAAGAGAACGGACTATTTTCGTTATTTATCTTTCGGAGTTATTTGAAAACACAGATTCAAGGATATTTATAAATATGCATTTTACAATTCAACGATTCCATTTCTCTTGATCGCACGCGCTCGATCGATCGTTTCTAGGTGAATGGAAAAATTATTTCTCGTGTTTTATATGTACAATGTACTATAGATATATATACATGTACATATTCGCTTTTACTTTCAATGTTTTTGACACAGTTTCTAAATGATAGAGTCGTTGCGTTGACTTGTTGCATATAAACGGTAGCGCACGATCGTCTAATCAACTTTCCTCGAAAAAGTTTCACGCGCGCAAATTTAATACACCACTTTCAACTTCAATATTAGTCATCAGAAATTGTTTCGATTTGGTTGAAATTTCGAGTCGTTTATTTGTTAGCTTTTGTTGTAATTTTGTACGTATATAAGAACTAAAAAATACTATCTACAATTAAAAACAATTTTGAGCTTAAAGATATGATGCAAAATAGATTAGGAATAAGATTAGATTTAGATAGTTAAGATTGAATATAGAATATTAATAATATGTAATTAAATGTAAAGAAAACTTGATATGTAAATTAAAATTCTTTAAATTTTAATTTACGTGTTTTACACGTAAAAACGCGATTTTTTTACTTCAAGTTCACAATTGGTAAATATTTGATAAGTCACATGTCATTTTCTAATAAGATTATATAACTTTTTCGCAGGTATATGCGATTTTTTTCTGAACTTATTTGTGCATCTGATACATGTGATATAAAATTTGTCCAAATACGATTTTAACATAATAATAGAGTTTTAAAAACGTAAGGTTTTTGCAAGTATTTGGATGTTTATATATTCGCGCAACTATTTATTCCTTTGTATTTTCGATTACCTAAGATAAGATATTCCGGTCGTATGAAACAAGAAATATAAATACAACAGAGAGAAAAACTGTTGATATATTATTTTGCATTTAATTTTTTATTGCATAATACCAATAAAATACTAATCTAAATTTGTGAAAACCAGAGAAAGAGAAGTGAATTATATTACAAAATTTAATTTAATGACAGAGATATAATGATACACAACTGGATGAATAATCAGATCGATTTTCTAAGATTGATTTTCCATGATAGAGATAGAATTTGCGAGAATTGTTTTTTTTTTTTACGGATTACATAAGAAAGCAGCGTTAGCGTTTTTTTTTCGCCGCGCGAACCGACTGAACGTATCGACAGAATTGAAAATGCAAATGAATCTAGCGAAGTTTGGTTGACATAGTAATGTAACGTAATTTTGTCAATCGGTTGCGAATTTTTTCCATTTCCTCCTCGTTCTCAACGTACGTTTCTAAATGCAAGCGACGCGCGAAACCAGACGGCCGATTCTAACGATCGCGCATCTATGGATATTTTTACGTAAGTACGCGAATTACGAAAGCGCGCAATCATGTCAAAACGTTAGTAAAAAATATAACGTTAAAATATTATTAAACCGAGAAGGATATATGTATATATTATATCTCTCTCTTAGTTTTTCTTATTATTTCCAACAAATTAGTTTTTTACAAAAAGATTGTAAAACACATCATGACGAGAAAGACACGCCGAAAGGAAATTCGTGTAGTTTCAGTCCGGGAATTATTCGTCGATAGAGGTTTTGTAACTTCGCTAAGACTTTTCCCCAGTCTTTCTGTGTGTTGATGTTTGTATTTTCACTCGGTAGTTTTCTTTGTAAAGTGTCGTGATGATAAACATCACAGGAGAAAATCAATGTTACATCTTAGTCGGAGTCAAACCGAATTCAAAATGGTTTTGAAAAGAAGTCTGTAACGGACACGCTTATTGTCGTACGAACAATCCGATACCGCGCGACGCGTATATCGATCGAGTTTTAAATTTCTCGTCAAGCGAGGCGTGTAAATGCTTCGAGTTTTTTTCCAGGAATGTCAGTAATAAAAGTCACCGAGACGAGACTTTTATTGACAATTTTTTTTTTTTTTTTTTTTAGAAAACATTCAGTATCTAATCACTTATTCTCCGATTTGCAGAATGTTTTCCAATGAGAATATGGATCTGCGTGATGATGTTCACGGCCTGTTGGACGAGTTACGCGTGTCGTCTGCAGATGCCGATTCTGGTGGTGCCTATGATCAAGGAACGACCGATCAATTACACCATCAGCGGTGTGTGTGTGTTCGATGACGGTGCGCGGCGACGTCGGGACGTTATCGTTAACAATCCTCTCGATCCCGTAAGCTACATCGAGGAATATGCGTTGAATCGTATGGAGGAGGAACGAGATCTGAAACTGTTGCGGCATCGCCGTCAAGCGAACGGCGACGACGCGCTGACGGGGATACGACCGGACGACGCGCCGATCGAACTCTTTAACGGTCTACCCTTCGACTGGACCCCGACTATACGGGGCCAATTGCTCGCTGCCTACGCCTACGGCAACGTACCCGGCAATCTCCTCGGCGGCTGGATATCGCTGCGATACGGACCGCGACACACGATTCTCTGGACGTCGCTCGTCGCCGCTCTGGTCTCTCTGATCAGCCCGATTCTGGCGCAGGTCCATTGGGGCGTATTGTTAGTATCCAGAATCATTATCGGTCTTACCGGAGGCGTGATTTTTCCCTCGTGCCACACAATGGTGGCTAAATGGGCACCGCCGGACGAACGATCGCGTTTTGTTTGGTCCCTCTTGGGTGGCACCTTCGGCACGATATTGACTTACCCGATGATCGCCGCGATCGCGGAGAGTGTGAATTGGGAATCCGCCTGGTACATACCGTCTCTACTGATGTTGATATGGGTTGGCATATGGGCGTTGATAGCTTACGATTCACCCGCCGAACACCCAGGCATCTTACTTGAAGAAAAAGAATACATTGTCAAGTGAGTTACAAAAATATTCTCTTTTTTTTTCGTGTATTTTGTAACACGTATATCATTAAGAAAAAAAAAAAGATACAGTGTCAGACGGAATGTAAAGAAAAGAAATTTAATCGACAGAAGTGCAATCAGAAGAAAACAAATTTAATTTGTTATTTCTAGCGCACAAGCGGGAATTGTGCGGGTCGAAAAGCCCAAATGGAAGGAAACACCAGTAAAGCAGATAGCAAGGTCCATACCGTTCCTTAGTCTGATCATATGTCACTTCGGAAATCTTTTTTTGCTGTTCTTCTATCAGAATTCGTTGATGCTGTACTTGACTAAAGCATTGGGATTTGAATTGACGAAGGGCGGCGCCGCAGCCGGTGCGCCGTGGTTCGCCAGAATGGTGTTCGGATTCTTCTTCAGCTGGGGTGGAGATGTTGTCAAGAAGAGGAAGATCATCAGCATCACTCTTTTGCGAAAGCTCGCAACTATATTTTGTAAGCATATTTTTATTTGTTTTTTCTTATAATGGCGAGAATTACTGAAAATTCAAAGAAATTTTTTAAAAAACGCGTAATAAAGTTAAATCAGTTTAAAAATTTACATTTATTTAAATTAAAATTTATATTAAATTAAAGTAACTTTATGTTGTGATCGCAAATTATATATTTGTAAATATTATATTATTGTATAAATTATTTACATTAGAGAATCAATTCACTTTAGAAATCATCTAAATATATCGAAGTTACGCTTGAATTTACGTTAAAATATAGGAGAAAATCTGATACATTTACTCCTTTAAACTCTACGCGCCATTATAATGGCTTATCGCTAGATGATTTTTTAGAACAAATCGTTATTATACTTGTTTCCCGCTTAAGCAACGTTTCGGAACGAATAGCTACTCTATAGTGGCTTTTACATTTTTTACTAATATTGTTAAATCGCATTTCACAGCAGACGGCTCTATGGCTAGTTCAACCGTGGCCGTTAAAAGAGTTAATATACATTTTGTTTATAATTATAAATAAATTTTGTTTTTCTCTTTTAGCGCATTTTATACCCGGTATCTTTCTGATATTGGTCGGCTATGTTGGTTGCAACTTCGTACTTGCGAACGTTTTTCTGTTCTTCGCGTTGGGTTTTAACGGCGCTGCTCTTATCTCAAATTTGTCAAACAATCAGGATCTCGCGCCAAATTTCGCTGGCTTTCTTTACGGCATCATGAACACGGCGGGGACTTTTTCCGGTGTAATTATTCCGCCGATGGTCGAAGAAATAGCTGGAAAGTACGGAGTGAGTATACTTCAGATAATTCGATAATAGAACATCAACCTTTTCCGTAATTTCAACTCACGTTCTTTTTTCTTTGCATTAGAATCCGATCGACAGATGGCAGATACTCTTTTGGATCGGCGCTGGAGTTTCTATCGGAAGTATGGTCGTGTTTCTGTTCGGAGGTAGCGGTAATATACAGCCGTGGAACGAATATCGTCGGCTGGATACAGGAGCGCAAGATGCGGAAGCCGGAGGAACCAAGGGGCAAACACCTGATACTACTCCTGCAAAATCCTAGATACATTTTTTCTAGTACACACGTATTTTCACGTTACAAACAAAGACTGTGACATAATTCGAACTTTTAAAAAGTTAAAAAAGTAGACAACAATATAATGATGACTGAAAAATGATTTTCTTTGACAAATTAGGAGAAATGTTATAAAACAAATTATTTGAAGACTCAGGTTGTTTAAAAAATTCACACTATTTATAAAAATTGCGAGATTTAGAATAAAAATAAAATTTGCGCTAAGAACGTTTTGAAATTTGTTAAATATTTGAGATAAATATTTCAAATACAATTTTTAAATATTTGTTAAAACTGTTAGCGTTGTATAATTTTATTGAAGTTTACATGTGTGCACGACAACTGTTTTCTCAAACTTTTTCACAAATTTCTATATCTTGTTTATTAAAACTTCATGTTCCTCATTTTATCTCATTATCTTTACAATTGACACGCACATCGGATGTACTAAAGTAAGACATCCTACTGAAAAGTAAGACATCCTACGTGTAAGATTGACAGGTTGTGATAAATTAAAATTAATAAAGGAAGCGTAATACAATAAATGTAAAAAATTTTTACCCAACTTTGTGTAGTTGTTTTATTTAACACAATACAATAATTATCTGATATATGAATGCAATTTTATGTGTAATCTGTCATCTGTCATGTAATGAATTTCTAACATACGGTTAATGTCTACACTGTCATCTTGAAACAATTGTCTAAGATTGTTATCTTGAAAATAACATATTTGATCAAATACATTGTGAAAACATAACTATTACTTAACAAGTAATTTCTAAACAAAAAAAAATAAAAGTGCTAGAAAAATAAATCTTTTCTTAAACAACGTTTTTTGTCTTAAAAAAAAAACTTTTTATCTTTTTGAGAAACTTTATCCGTCATATTGGACGGATTTTTAACACAGTTAACGTCTAACATTATCTCGACGGTTTTGATAATCTTGTTGAAACAAAATGTGCTCAGCAATAAATTTCTAAAAAAAAAATAATGTTTTTTTTTAAATAATTTCTTATCTCTTGATCTGTTGTAAAATCTTTTTTTTTTGAAAAAACAAACTTTGTTTTTATCTTTTTGAAAAGAATCTTCTATGAAAAATCTATTTCAAAATATATCGTCTGACATTTTAACATATATAAAGTGATTATTCTCTGAGATGGCGATGACGATAGAGCAACATTCTTCGCGCGAGTGGCAGTCCAACTAAACGGGCATACTCCTTCACCTCGTCGTGTAAATCCTCGTTGTCATATTGTACTACTTGACCGGGTTTCTGGTATTCCCTGTATCTTTTGTACGACATCGCAATTTGGTTGAACAAAATCAGCACCTAAAACAAAACAAAAACAAGTTCAGTGATCGATGCATCATGAATAGGCGCGATTAGAACATACAAAGAATCTAAAAAAAAATATGTACCTGATCGATATCATCCATGTAGACATCACCATCTATATCACAGGCATAACGATCATCATTTAGACAACTGTACTTTGTTTTATCTAATTTGGCTAGACAAGGCTCAATGTCACACCATACATATGTCTCCGGACACAGAAGCTTCGACGGTCGCATTCTGGCCTTGTATCGCATCTTTGGACATGTGTGAATGTAAAAGCCCATATAATAGTATTTCAGATCGCTCGCAACCTTGTTCAACTGTCTCGTCAAGTAAACTTCTCTCAGAGAACTGAAATAAAGAAACATATAAATTAAAAATTATTGATTAAAATTATTTGTGCATTTAATCAGATCGTGTGTTTGTCGAAAAAAAAACAAAAAAAATTATATATTTCGAGAGATAAAAACCTGAAAGTTCCCAGAGAAAGTTGACTATATGCTGGATCGTAAAAGAAGTAAACGCTGGAAATACACAACGGCAGAATATCTATCACTCCGACAGCTATTAATTCGTTATCCAACCAGTATTGCTCGTGAAAAGAACCGTATCCTTGAGGTGGACCATTATTGGGTATCCAAGACTAGGAAATAAAACGTTACTTTGCTACTTTTTCGCTTTATATTTGTAATGAAAATTAGACTATTATCAAACGCTCTGAATGAATCAATGTTGTTATCAGATTATAGACTTCATGCTTTTACGAAACACACACAGAACATAAACATAACATAAGCAAATATTCTTCTTTATACGCACAAAACGCTTTTTAAAACTATTTTTCTTATAACATTCAAAGAGAACAAGATCAAGTACAAAGCGATTAGATACAAAGTGTACCTGTAAGGGGCTCTTTACAAGAAAATTGTAGAATGACGTTTGATTACATTCGTCTGGTGAATCGCCGTGAATTGCCATTTGATATTTTTTATAAAGATTAGCGCTCACATCAAAATTGCTAAGAAACTCATCTGACATCACTCTCACCAATTTCATCTGACAAATTTACAAAAAACATTTGTAAACGTAAAATATACACGCAAAGTTTAATAGTTATCTGATAAATCGAGCAGCATCATTGTTGAGCAATAATAATGTGAATTACAATTTTTCTCATCTCGACTAAAAGATATAAGGTCCACTTTGCTCCAATCAGTTATTTACATTATAGGTTTGTACACAACTAAAAAAGTTTTCTAACTTCCACAATGTGCATAATTATATTTTTTGAGAGCCACTGAATTATTTATAACAGTAAAAACCAAATAAAACTTGAAACAAAAGCGTATAGTTATTATAAGCTCTTTTTGTTTATTCATATAGCTTGTATAATTCTACATTAAATCAACTAAAACAATATGCATGTAATGTTTTTGTATCTCTACAATCAGAGCATGCATGTCCCATCTTATGCATAGCTTCTGTTGCAGATGATTTGCTGATGGATTTATGTAAAATTACCTGCAACGGCGATTTTACGAGAAATCTTGTGTACTGTTGTTCTGTGACCTTCTCAGCCGGAACCCCGTGTATCGTGGTCTGATACTTTTTATAAATTTCATATGATTTTTTCGAGGTCTTTTGATATTCGGAGCTCATCGGCGCAGTTCGAACCAGTTTGAGCTTATAAAAGTCATTATCTTAACACAAATCTACTTTTGGATAACGAAGCGAGTAACTATGAAGTACATAAATTTATTGCGATTAGTTTATAAGTAGATAAAAAATATAATCAAAAAAATCTGAAAAACTCATGATATAAAAGTAATTAATAGTTTAAATGTGTGTTGATTCCACTGCGCCTTTAATGCCAGCACAATTAGCAACTATTTGCTGCTGTTATCGCATTTTTGTGTTTTATTGTACAAAATAAAAATTGGAGAAAAGAGGACCACTAGTAAAAACACTATTTTGATTCAAATAAGAATCAAGTAAAATAAATGATGCTTTTTGACGTTAAACAGTTCGATTATATTACCTCCAACTTTTTCACACCACCCTGCAATACTTCCTCAAATAATTCCTCCACAGTCTTAACACAATTCTGTTGTTTCTTCTCTTTCATAATGCTCTCAATTTCACTTTGAGATTTACCTTGAGCTAACAATTTATTCTGCTTACGTTCTATTCGCAACAGTTTTGCTTTCTTGCAAGGAACTGCATCGGTAATTTCACTTCTAATTTTCTGTAGAGTATTTTTATTAGAAGATTTGTTCAGCTGTTCCTGATTACTTGATACAGAAGTTGAAGTTTTCGAACACTCGGGTTTGGTTTTTACTGAATCAATAGATAATACAGAAGTTGACTTCTTAGAACACTCAGGTTTGGCTTTTGCCGAATCAATAGATAATCTTCCATTAACTTCATCATCAATGGATGAAACATGGATTTCTGACGCATTTTTCTGAGCTTTAGCAAGATGCTTTGAATAATTTGGTACTTCGTTATTTATATCTATTAACAATAAAAAAAGTTTGATATAATAACAATTCTTTAAGGTAAAGTAAAATTGTTTTATTTGTAAAATTCTAAAGTGTATACCTATATTATCATGGTAATCTCTTCTTGTATCTGCATCACTGTTAGTCAACTCATTTCTTAGAAACTTGCTCATACGTTTTAAGATCTTTTTCTGAGATTTCGATATCTTAAAATCTAAAGCTTCGCATCTATAAAAATCAGTATTTACATATATATATATATATACATAATATATTGTTATCTCTCTTGTGCTTCAAATATGACTCATCCCATTTAATTATAGCTTTATATTAAGCGTTCAATCATGTTTCAAATAAAAATGTTATTACTTACTTAATTGTGTATTGTGGACAGCAGGTTTGATTCATTGTAGGTTTATAACAATAGCAGCCGCTTCGTCTCCATCCTCTGTCTATTAGGCATTGATAATCTTGCACCGTCAACACATGTGCCCATAGTCCTGACAATAAACAAGTATTTGTTATCACTTATCCAACATTTTACTTTATATTCAAACATACAATTTGCAATAAGAACAACAAATCCAATTGAAACGTTGGAATATCGCAAAGCTATCGAGAATAAAGTTAACAGTCGAAATGTTAACATGTGTGTGTTGTGACCTCACCATGACTAACGTTTGTGTCGGGGCTTTTGCAATAACCGCACTTGTAGCCCTCGTGTTCCGCATAATATTCGACAATCGATCGCTCAGGTCTTTCAATCGTTTCCATTTCCAATATATGTAACAAGTTGCACGTTTATCTGATGTTATTCTGAAACTGTTACAAACGCGTTGGACAAAAATGTTACAGAGATCGTCGTTGGCACATATGGTTTTGCTTGCAACAAAACTGTATCAAGTTGAATTTATCGCACACTTCGCTTTATATATTGTTACTTGCTACATGTCGCTGTTGCGTCTAGTTACTCATTTATTTCTGGTTAAATACTTTTAAATTCTCGCGTACAACTTTTCTCTCAATATTTTTTCGAACAATACCAACTGGCATCAACTTACCAGATACGAATCGAACCGGGCACGAAAATAAAATGTAAACAGAAGCAAAAACGGAAAGCTTCCAATCATAAACCGAAGTTGGTAAGACTGGACGTCGAAAAACGGGTCACGTGAATAAAATTTTTATCGCAGATTGGCGTGTGGGCGGAAGTTTGAAGTCCTTTAGCCAACTAAAAAGTCAGACGAGTCACGTGATTGCGATGGCGACTTGAGGCTGCGTTCCAATATTCATTGGCCGCGTTCAAGCTCGGACCAATTGCTGAGTTCTCGTCTTGTCATTATTCGATGTTGATTTGTTGGTTCTGAGAGCAAGAGCCAAACAAACGTTCGATTGCTACAAAACAACTTGTTTCGCCGAACGCAGCAAATAGAGCGACAGAAATCCCCTCTTTCTCTCTCTCTCTCTCTCTCTCACATCATCTTTGTGTCATGATGAGCGGCAAACTCACAGGCAAGCCGATCAGCTGATCATGTTTCGTGCAATGTTGATTTGTCGAAAGTACAAGCGGTACTACGTCTTTTGTTTACTTATTTCAATTTGTGAACAATTTAATTTACGTTCGTAAGCACAACGAATCAGCACCAATGCAGAAAGAACGAAAGACGAAAATGGAAGCAACATCCAGCTCCGCGTCGAGCACTCAGAGTAACGCACGTGGCGAGCGAGTGAGTAGCGTACGCCGTGTTGGATTTGTTCAATGAAAACGTTCATGTGATCATTTTCAGTAATCGTTCGTGTATACTTGGTGTATTTGTTTAGAAAAGCACACGAGGCTCGAGGCAGAAAGCCGTGGACAATCTGAGCAAAAAATTTCTGAGAAACTTCGATCCGGAGCACAGCGAAAGAGAGAAACGCAAGTTGTATCGTCGATTGTATCACACCAACAGGAAGCACTTGCACGACGAAAAGGGTTACTTCGCGCAAACGGGGGATGATCTCTGCGACTGTCTGAACTTGGATTGTTCCGGATGCCACGTTCCGTGTCCCAAGTGCTCTTCTCCGAAATGCGGTCATGAATGCAGGTATTTTTTTCTTTTGTTTGTTTTTTTTTTTAATAAGAACGTTCCTCTGTCTCTCGAATAAGAGTCTGGTGGAGTCTTCGCGGCGAGTCTTCTGATTTGTTTGAATCGTCACTTTTTTTTCAGAAATAATCGCAAATGGACCTATGACAGCATTCAGTGCGAAGGCATTGATGCCACTGTCAAAAACCCACTAATGAAATCATCGGAGAAGTGAGAAAAAGTGTAATTAATTATTACACCGGTGTGTATAATAATATTAATCGATAAGATTAATTATTGATGTTAAACGTGTAAGTATTTATGTGCATTTTCAAGGATATTGCAGAATTCTTCTCGTTATTTATTTTGTACGATATATTTATACAAGAAAACAACATAAAAAAACAATGACCAATAAATCTCATACATATGTACATACACCTGCAATGTATTTACAATTATTCTCTTTTTTCTTTTTTTTTTTTTTTATTAAAAAATGAATCTCTCTCAAGTAGGCCACTTGCAGCTTGCGCGCAATACTTCACCAGAAGCTGCAGAGAGAGTCGAGTATGTGTGTCCAAGCGTTTCATGAAAACGACGAGTGGTTTCATTAGAAAGATATGACGAGCCGGATGATTGATCTGTTTCCGCAAAAAAAAAAAAAAAAAAAAAAAAAACAGAAACCAGTTATCTCGCGAGTCTCAGTTTTCGCGAAACTTCCGAACACAAAAGTCTAAACCAAATCGATTTTCCCTCCGTTTTGCACGATTATTGCGTGGAAGAAAAAATTCCCACTTCGCGGAACGCGACCATAAATTTTTGATCAAAGTTCTATCTTTATTCAGCGCGTGGAATATTATAATTGACGTTGAGCTCCAGATAAATCGGGGGGTGCCCACTCGTTGGGTGACATCACTGCTCGTCACGCGCGCATACCCTCACACACGAAAGCGCTATTGATTTTCCGTGTGGCGCTTTTCAGTCGCGGTAAATGCGCGCGGTGTATTACAGAGGACTTACTACATACACACACAGACGGGAACACACGCACGTGCACGCGCGAAGGGTGCGCGCCTCTCGTCCGCGAGAAGAAATCGTGCGAGAGAATTCGGAGGCGCGGCTCTGTGTGAGAAAACAAGAGAAAACAGAAAAAAAAGGGAAAAGAGAAGAAAGAGCGCGTAGAGAAAAATCGCATTGATCGTCGAAAAGTTGCGTTTTCGTTCGAAAAGTCAGTGTCCGCGAGAGAGAAAAAAAGTTCCAATCGGTCGTCATTCGATAATCGTAGCTGGCGCGTTGCGCGCGCGAAGAGATATACAAAGCTCTGGTTAGGTAGAGAGCGACGTGGTGGTAGTGCGGTACGTACTTCAGGGGGTTGACGTTCGGCAGGCGCACAGCCCCTAGTTCCGTCGCGTTCATTCGTTGCAACTCGCCTTCGTAACGCGTACGTAACGGAAGAGAGACGGAAAGAGAGAGAGAGAGAGAGAGAGAGTGACGGACGGGGCGGACGAGAGAAGAGTACGTCGTGTCGGAGCGCATTAGCCGCCCGGGGTGGCGGACGCACGCACCCACGCACTTTACGCACTCGTATAAAGCGCGACGAGCGCGAGTTGACACAACTGCGAGCGACGACTGGTTGCAAGACACGGACGACGATCGGGCCGCCGTCTCTCTCGCCGTGTAGTCGTTGACCATCTTGTGCGTGACCGTCGCGCGATCGAAGAGGATTTCTCCGTTTCAGTTTCCGGAAAAAAAAGAAAAAAAAAACAAACAAACAAAACGAAACCCTGGCGAACTCTTGAGGTTCTTTCTCTCGGCTCGAGCAACACAAGGTATATATATATATATATTTTTCCGTCAGACAATTTAACACATTTAAAATTCTCTCGCTCAGTTCCTTCGTTCTTCCGTAAAAATCTCGCGTTTTTTTTTTTTTTCTCGCATCTTCACACCGCGGTGCAATGCTCGTGACGTTTGTCCGCGAGTGCCGCAATCGCGAGAGCCCGTGTGTGATCGTCGCGCGACCAAGTTCGAGCACGAAACGCGTCGCGCCGATTTAACACGACGACGAATTTCCAATCTCGGAATCACTTCGCTGGGTCTGTTCTTCTCGTTTTGTTTTTCTTATCTTTTTTTAATTAACAGAAATGTGTGTGCCGGAATGATCTCGCGGGTTGACGCGGAATGTGTGGACGGAAGTGAAGTGGCGTTGTATTGTGAGTATATCGTGGTTTTTTTTTTTTTTCAAGCAAGTGTAAAAACTTCTCACGGAGTTCTTCAATAATTTGATAGCGCGTCGAAATTTGGATCGTTAATTTTGGCGAATGTATTTCGACGGCTCTGTGCACACACAGTGTCAATACGTGCCTCAAAATGTCGCGCGTTCTGATGATATCAATTTTGCAAAGGGCAACGTTCAGCAGCCGAGCTGTTTGTGCGCTTATCAAAGTTATTTCTGTTATTTAAAACTTTGAAGAATGTGATCGAAATTACTCTGTTTTTATTCACGGCAATGTGTGTATGTGTATGTGTGTGTGTAGTTAATCGTGTTTTTTTATATGCACTGCGAGCGGAGAGCTTGTGTGATTCGGACGAAAATTCTGGGGCAGGAGGGAACGGGGATGTGATATTTTCGCATCGGGTGCAATTGCGTTATATACGGGGCGCGAATACGTGTGTGTGTGTGTGTGTGACGTATCTTGATATTCAACGATAATCTTTTTTTTTTTTTTTTACACGGGTGATCGTAGCCGTTTTTCTTATAAATTGTTACACACGCATTATATTTGAGAAAAATGTCGTTTGATTTAAGTTTGAATATTATATGTTGCAACTCGTGTAATAAATAAATTATATTGTCGGTCGCGCGGAAAGAGAGAAAGAAACGCGAGCACGTAGTAAAATGAAAAAGACTCCGAGACTCTTCCCTCGCGGTGACGTCAAAACTATTCCACATTTTTCGAATCTCAACGTTTTCAAGGAGATCAATAAATTCTCTTGTTTATTTTGCCTTATTTTTTGATCTATTTTAAGTTACATCATTTTCCTCTGTACTCCTCCGATAGCTTTTCTCTTCTTTTTTTGCGCAATCTATATAGCGCACTGGAGGATTTCATCTTAAATGCACGAAGTGCAAGAACGTGTTGCTAAGACAAACAGACCTACTTTCTTTCAGCTTTTTACATCTCTGTTCTTTCAACGTGCGCGTTGCTTAAAAAAAAAAAAAAACAAAAAAAAAGGAAAAGTGCATTTGAAATGAAATAAAGTACAGAATAGTCTCAGAGAGAGTGCGAAGAGGAGCAGAGATAACAATTGTAAAAAGGCGCCGGAGGATGTGAGTGACAGGAACAGAATTTATGTAATTACGGAAAATTAAAAACGCATTTTCTCAGTAATAACGTGGAAAAATCTACTTTGTAGAGAGGGGTAGGAGAGTAGTAGGAAAAAAAAAAAAAGAAAAGAAATGAGGAAAATAAAAATTTGCAAGAAAACACAAAAACAAAATGTAATGTAACATTGAAAAGTTGGTTGTAACACGGATGGAAATTGCTGCGTGTTTTCTCTCTTAATTAAAGAGAAATCGGAGTCTCTGAAGGGGGAAAGGGAAGAAGAATCTCGACGATCGCGCGCGACGGCGGATGATGTGACCGGTGATTGCATCCGGTGTATTATTGCCGGCCGGTTTAATTGCGTCATACGCCTTTTTACGTGCTCGAAATGTTAGAAAAGTAACTTCTGGGAAATAACCACATTAGCGTATAAATACAACGAATTTAGGAGGGGGGACCGGGAAAACACACTCGCGATAAAGACGGGAAGCGAAAGATAACAAGGACAGAGAAGCCGCATATACGAGGGAGGGGTGGACGGTAGGAGGGAAGGTACACGCGATAGGATGCGGCTTCGTGGATGTCGTCATCGAGAAGAGATACACGTCACGAGATATGCGCGGAAGAGAACGTACGTAACCTTTCGCGGTTCAGATTATTAACGGCGTGGGCGAGAAGCGCTTCTCTGATAGAGCGGAGGCTTATGGCATCTTGTGTTTATGTGTGAGGTGTTTGGAAAAATCATCTGATTGTTATTTTCCGGTGTAACACACACAGAGTTCTCACGCACTCCAATTTCTGAGTCTGTGTTTCTTCGAGAAGAATATATCGAGCACTCGCTCGGATAAGGGAATCGATGCAATTTATTTTGTTACAAATTTAATGAAAGATGTCGTGCGGATATGCGCGTCAAAACACGAGAAACGAGATAATTAATGCACGATCTATTAGTGTTTTCCCGTGAGGAAAAACGTGTGCATTAAAGTTGATCAATTAAAAGGACACGGGTGATGGGGGGGGAGGGGGGGGAGGGAAAGGAGGGTAAATTCTCTTCGAAACATCTACAGTGTCTATAGTTTGCATTATTGCTGCAGGTGGGGCGGTGATCGAGGGGTAGTGAGGAGAGCGGTGTCTCTCGGCGTGCACTCTCATTCCCTCTCGTCGCGTCACTTGGTTGGTCTCTCGCCACCCTCCACGCGTACACAAGAGATCCCGTGAGCAGCCGGGAAAGTTTAACGTCGGCGGGACAGCAGATGTCAGGATGCCGGAGCAGAGCAACGACTACCGCGTGGTTGTGTTCGGGGCGGGCGGCGTTGGCAAGAGTTCCCTCGTGCTTCGCTTTGTGAAAGGATCCTTTCGCGAGTCCTACATACCGACCATTGAAGACACTTACAGACAGGTAAGTGAGCCGGCGGCCGCAGTTGCGACACCGGCGGTAGCCGCGCCAACCCTTCAAATGCCGCATCCCTTCGATCTTTACTTTTCTCGCGGAGAGATAAATTCGTTAGAAATGTGACCCGCGTGCGTGCCTTTCTCGACTCGATGAATAATTCATTTACAGATTACTTGTTTGTTTGTTATTTTTATTCGCGATAATAAATTGTAACGTTTTCGACTGATTCTTCGTGTTTTCTTGGAAAATAAAATTGAAGCGAGACGGAGAAAAATAATCTCAGAAGATCGCGATTAAAAAAAATTTCGTAGAAAAAACTCTGTGTGTTTATAATAATTCGTTGTCAATAGAAAATAATTAAAAAAAATTTAATTACAAATTATTTCATTCGCGCACCTTTGTGCGTGTATTTACACAAAGTTATATAGATTTCGTGGTCAATTATAGCTCGTTATAAAAATAGATATTTTATCCTATTTGATTATATGTGTATGTCGGATATATATATATAGTAATTTTCATATGGGAGACGCGATTTAACGATTAATTGAACGTCCTCGTGTCTCGCACGCGCGCGATATATATATTCGTCGGGGATGTACACATATTGTGATAACTTTGTCATGTGAGAATTTAATATTTCCACTCTCGGCGTGTATCTGGCCAATAATATGGAAATGACGTGTGCGAATCAAATTGTTAAATTTGCAAATTACCTTGCAGCTTTCAACAAGAGAGAAATTATCCGGGATAGCACGCCTGTAGCACATATAGTCGCGATTAAAGCGAAAATTAGTAATAATAATAATTGATGCTGAAAAAAAAAAAAATATGTACTACGAGAGCAAACACACACACGGTCGCGTAATTGCGGCAATTTTATGTTCGTCACTTTACGGTTGTGACCGCAATGCACACATCGAATTGCTCTCATTACAGCACATTAATATCGTTTCTAAACGCATCTCACTCACGCGCAATAAGATTATTTATAAATTATCGCAATCAACTTCTGCACTGAGTTTATGCCGCTTTTTATAGGGGAGACTGGGGCTGATTGTGACACGGGTAAAAAGTTACAACCTTTGATTAGTGATTAAAATTAAGTGCTACATTACAAAGCTAAAAAGAGACAAACGCGACAATTGTCACGCGTCACACGCGTCAGTAACGTCATCGTTGTTGCAATTATTTTTCATCGCTAATTTAAGGTTGTAACTTTTTACCCGTGTCACAACCAGCCCCAGTCTCCCCTACATGTGAAAAGCCTCTTCGATTTTTCTTTTTTTTTTTTTTTTTTGTGTTTTTTACGCACACAATTTTCATAATACCGATAACGCGGATAATCAAAATAACGCACGGGTGCGTTAAGAGCTTATTAATTATTCAAGCAACTGGCAAAACAACCATCCAAAATAACATCATCGATTGTAACACGGTAATCCGGTTATATCAACAACTCGCGGCTATATAAATTTATATTTTTGCAGTAATTTTACAATATATTATAAACACACACACACACACACATGCGCACATGCGCACACACATCCACGCGTATTTGTACATTTGTAATGTACAGCATACGATGGACATACGACAATTATAAAACATATACAAATGCTGGTGGGACTTTCTCGCTGTGTGCCGCGACGAGAAGTGTCGTCGATGAGATCGCGCGAAAATAATTTCTGACGATGATCAGACTTTGACTCCCGAGATCGAATTCGATTGAGCGAAATCAATCGAGTTCGGAAGGTAAAGGGTCAAGTCGTCTGAGCTAAGCTCGGATCGAAAGATTTTATATCGCGCGATTGAGTCAACGTTAGCGTGGTCATTGCCCGTGAAATTTCAGGTGATAAGTTGCGACAAAAACATATGCACACTTCAAATTACGGACACAACGGGATCCCATCAGTTTCCCGCTATGCAGCGGCTCAACATAAGCAAAGGTCACGCGTTCATCTTGGTGTACTCGGTGTGCTCGCGGCAAAGCTTCGAGGAGCTACAACCGATCTGGGACGTGATAAGGGAGCTCAAGGGCCAGGATATCTCGCAGATACCCATTATGCTGGTAAGGATTCGCGCCACGCGTCTCTCTCTCTTTCTCTCTTTGTTTTTTTTTGTTTTGTTTCGGTCGTGAGAGGTGGTGTTTAGTTTCTTCTTTTTGTTGCCCGCATTCTTCCGCGATCTGTGTAATGTTATTGCGTCTTTTGTTACATCGGAATTGAGAGGAAACGCGCTAGTTTCACACACGGAATTGCTTCGACTATTATACGCGTTGACTATATATACATGTACATTATATGTGTGTATATACGTATACATATATATACATATATATAACATGTATATGTATATATATGTAATACTCGAAATCCGGTCCCGCGAGATATATGTGCGTTCCGCGTTCTAACTTTGTTTGCAATTCCAGTCATTGGATATCCGTATTCTCGACGAATTAAAAACAAAGTCGCGTACATCGCGGCGTACGATGCGGTGATTTTGACATTTTGAATTCGACGATTAATTCGATAAAACCACGAAAATATCTCGGACGCGTTAAAAAGGATGCAATTCAAATCGTATACGGTCGTAACTTTCTTTTTTTCGTTGAAAATTTAATTTAAAAAATTGTTCCGTAAAATTGAAAACAATAATAATTCCCAAAAACGATACGTTATACGTATCGACGCGACGATTCGATTTTCACGCAAAATTTACTCGGATTTTCCAAATAACAGCTGCTTTATTTTTTTTTTTTTTTTT